CCAGGATGGGCATGGACTCCAGCTCAGCCTTCTGAGCACCTGCTGCCTCAGACAGGTGTTTTCCGGTAAGAGAAAAGGAGGCAGATTTGGAGAAAGTTCCTCCCCAGCTATGAACCCTGAAATCCTGTGTTCAGCTGATAAAAAGTCCCATAATCATGGCATTCATTTGCAAGCATAAAGATGCAGGAAGGATAAAGGCAGAATGGATTTTGCCACTCTCAGGTGTTCTTTGTTGGTCGAACAAGATTCCTGTGCCTTTCTAACCTTTAGGAACCTTGCAGGTAGCAAAGTCCAAACACAGGAACTCTGAAAAGGAGCCGCCTGCCCACGTCCCATCAGCCTTCGTCCCCTGGCTGAAGTGTCCAGCACTGGGAGGTGGATGTGCAGGGCCAGGCCAAGGGCGGCTGGGCACTCCAGGGTTCCCGGATACTGACCTGCTGCTCACCCTTCCCGAAGCAGAGACAAACTCAGCGGGGAGATACAGCTGCTCACTGGTTACACAAACCGCCTCCCTAAATTTCCCAGGAAGACAAAGTCACCTTTTTAAAAAGAATAAATTTTATTTCAACCAATACACTTACAGAAAACGTTCATAAACTAGTACAGGGAGTTTCCATGTATCCCTCTCCCAGCAATCCCCCGGGTTAGAATTTCACATTTTACTAAACTCTCGGTGCTCTGGTTTTTAAGGTCGCCAGGAGCCAGGTACGAAAGCCCCTAACCACGCATGCGCTGTGGAAGGAGGCGCGTGGTCAGCTGTCAGGACAGGCAGGGCACCGGCTCCTTAGAGACACGGAGACCTGCACGGCTCCCACTGCCCCTGGTTCCCTACGCCGGGAACCAGGGAGGGAGAACGCGGGGCTAAGGGCTCCACCGCTGATGCCATCTGCCACAGGCCTTGGCTTTGCTACCTTCACGAATGGATTAGCCTCTGTGCTCTTGGGAGGAAAGTTGCTAAACAAATAATTCTTCTTTGGTTTTTTTTTTTGTTTTGTTTTGTTTTTTAGGCAGGTCTCACTATGTAGTCCAGGCTGGCCTCAAACTCACGGCAATCTTTCTGCCTCAGCCTCCAGAGCACTGGGACTACAGGCTTAGCCCACCACACCTGGTTTTAGGCAAATATTTTCCAATTGTTCTCAGGTCAAAGAACAGAACATATTAGAAAACACTGGTTTACGAAACAGTGTAATTGTAATCCCAGCATTTGGAGGCTGAGGCAGGAAGATCACTGCAAATCTGAGACCAGCCTGGGCTACAAAGTGAGCGCAAGGCCAGCCTGAACTGCAGAGTGAGAACCTGTCTCAAAAAGACAAAAAAGCAGTGTAATTATTAGAACATGTGGGGACCATTTTGAGTTTCTTTGCCTCAGTGGGAATATGGAGATTAATTCCTGCATTTTAACAGCTGTTAAACTGTTGTGGGATACAGATCTTTTAAAAAGAAACCTTTGTCTATGTTTTTGAATTTTCCCGTCATGAAAATGTATCTTTCCTACAGGCAGAGAGGCTGCTAAACACTGAAATGCTGCTGTAAGGCAGCACCTCGCTGCTGAAGGCCTCTCAGCCTCCTTCTCCCCTCCAACCCTCCAGCTGAGAAGAAGGTAGGGGGTGCAAAACTGGCTGGGAAAATGAGCGAGACCTGTCAATTTGGAGATCCCAGGACAGTGTCAAATAATTCCCAAGAACCCCTATGTGGGACTTCTCCAGTGCTCAGCGTCTGGGGTGACATGCCTTGTGTGCTGACAGAGAGGGCTCTGCGTGCCCGCTGCACCTCCTGCACCCCAGGCTGGCCACCCCTGCGTTAGGAGGTGGGGCCGGCCTGGTAGAAGGAAGTTAGGTCAGCAGGGTGTGCCCTTGAAGGGATGTGCCCCAGCCACTTCCTGTCTCTCTTCCCTTCTTGGCCTCCATGAGGTGAGCAGATTCCCACATCCCTCACTCCCACCACGACCTTCTGCTCTCCCAGGGCAGAAGGCAACAGGCCAAGCAGCTATGAACTGCAACCTCTGAACCGTGAGCCGAAATAACCCTTTCTTCCTCTCACATGTTCCGTCAAAGCAATGAAAACCCACTGTCCTACCCAGCAATGGCTTGCGCTTTTCTGGCTTCATCCTAGAGATGCTTTTCTTGTCTATGTGCACCAATAGCTGGTAATAAAAAGGAAATTCAGATAGGGATTCTGTGCTCCAGGAAACCTTTGATTTCCTGAAAGCTACGGCAGAGCAGTGGCTACTGGGCAGGCGAGTTTCTGACCCTTGGCAAATCCGGGCACTCAAAATGTATGCAGGGCACACAACAAACAACTCGAGCACCAGGGAACCAAGCAGTGAAACAAAGGATGCAAAAGGGAGAAAGGCACCAGACACTGAAATCACTGACGTGTGTGGCTTTGCTAGTTTCATATGGCACAGAAGTACATTTTAAGTAACTCTTCTTAGTTAGGTCCTATTCTTTAAGAAACCTCCAATGTTTAAAAAATACCCAGACTCCTGTACTTGAAAGGTATTTGATACAGGGAAAAACTAAAACAGCAGAAAAAAAGTCCGAGTTCACACAGGGTGTAACTCTTATTTTGCCATACAGAGGCCCCACAATGTAACACAGCAAGGAAATTAGACTTCCTTTATCCTGTCCAGTAGTTGTTTTTATGATGCTTTTAATAAGAAAAAGACCCGGAGGAACAGGTCTTTGAACTACATTTCCTCCTCATCCTCTCTCTACCCAACAAACCATAACTTGAAAACTCACTTGTATCTCCCTTCAACCGCCCTCTTCAGTGCCACGGCAAAAATCCCCATCTTGGGGTTAGGGATTTTGCTCAGCAGCATACGCAACTGCCTTGCAAGCAGGCGGTCATGAGTTCGATCCCCAGTACTGATTTAAAAAAAAAAATCCCTACTTTCCTCCTAGTAACAAGGGCTGCGGGACAGCTCTTGGGGCTCCCTCTTCTGGCCATTGCTGGGAGCAGGCGGTAAAGCCATCAAGTAAGACCCTCTTCGTCAGAATTCCAAAAAAAGCTGATTCTTTAAAAAGAGTTGGTTCCTACTAGTTTGCTTGGTATTTTTGATCTCCAGTTTTCAAAAAGGATTTTGATGCCCTGAATTGGAAGCACCAACATCATGCTCAGATGACTTTCAGAAGCAAACTGAAATAAGAACTCCTAGGGCTCAATCACAGTTAACATGATTAGCCACAGGCAAAGGGCTGGCGGAGACACTTCTGTAAAGATGCACAAAGGGTCAGCAAGCACCTGAGAAAATGCTCACTATCACTAACGGATGAATTAAGGAAACACAAATCAAGGCCAGAATACTCACTGGGTGGTTACGACAGTGAACATGTGTGATTTCAAGGATGCTGGGAAACTGAAAGCCCTGCTGGCAGGAAGAGGCAGGGTATAGCCAACAGGACCGTACGGCAGTTCCTCCAAAGATCAAAATAGCGTCACCGTACAATGCGGCAATTCCACTTCTGGGTGTTTACCCAGAAGAATTAAAAGCAAAGTCTTGAAGAGTCCCTTGCACACCCACAGCCACAGCAGCATAGTTTGCAAGAGGCAAAAAGTAGAAGCAGACAACAGGTCTATCAACAGATACACAGATAACAAATTATGCACACAATGTATTCAGCCTTTAAAAGGAAGGAAGCTCTAATGCATGGTGGACGAACCTCAGGGTCTTCGGACAGTCACAAAAAGACTCCTACCGTAGGATGTCCCTCAGACGCGGTACCTTAGGCTGTCAGATTCCCAGAGACAAGAAGCAGAACGGTAGTGGCCAGGAGGGAGAGGTAGTGGCCCACAGGGTGTCGGTCAATAGATACCAATTTCAGTTCCACAAGATGACAAGACTCTGGAGATCAGCTGCAGATAACATGAAGACACTTGATGCTACTGACTGTAGGAGCAAAGTGGCTGAGATCATCAATTCTGTTGTGTATTTTACAAGAATTAAAAAGCATTTTTCTAAAAAGTAAAGACAAGCGACACATGGCTGATCTGTCATCTCGCCCTTTGCTGCCCCCTCTGACGCAGCTTCTAGGATCTCAGGAAGTGACAGCAGGAGAGGACTGAGTGATTTACTTGAATTCGAGTGGAGAGAGCAACTTGAAAAGGTCCTGGCAGTGACCAGTAAAGACCGGACTGGGAGGAGGGGCTGCTGGCTCCCAGGCTGGGGCTCAACCTGCGTCAGGTCAGAAAGCGGCACCCCAGGAAGACAGCGCCTTTGTGCATGGATCGCTTCACAGCGGAGGCTTCGAGGTCTGCAGCTGCAGGCCGGGGGTCTTCTCTGAAGCAACCTGTGGACCCAAGGACAGGTCCACCATAGGAGAGCACAGCTGCCTTCAAAATGCTCTAGAAACTCCACGGGACAAGAAAACTGAGCACCTACCACGGAGGCCGAGACCACATCAGACTCCACGCCAGAGCTCTGAGGGGCTTCATTTCTGGCCATTCTCTTTCTTCAGGTCCAGTCATCCTCCCTAATAATCACCTGCTACCCCTCAAAACACTTGCGGCACCCCATCTTCCCTCTCAGTGAAGAAACTGATCACCTGGCCCTTGAGTATGGTATTCTAAATGCTCCACGCACAGCTATACAGTAATTCATCTGGATGCATTTTCTCCTGTCAAGCTGTCTTTTGCCAGTTCATTTGGGCAAAGACTCAAACCTCCGAGAAGCACAGAGAGAAATGTCCACTGCCCCACCTCCTGCCTCACACCATTTCCTGATGGGGAGATCAAAGGTCACCCCTGTCCTTCAGAACTCCTTCCCAACCAATGTCTGTCCATCTGTCTGGGTCACAGGCAAGCCCGTCAGGAGTCACACCTCTTGTTGAAGCCCTCGAACAAAACTGGAGGGACACAGAGAAGCCACTTGGCAGAACTTGCCCTGAGCGCTGAGTTCTGCAATTTCTCTCACATGAGGCCTACCAGGAGTGTCGGGCTGTGCTGGGAAGCTGGTGTGCTCAGGGCTGTGAGCCACCTGTCAACAGTGACACACAGGCTGAGGGGTTTATAGAAATGATTTTATTTCACCCAGATCATTAGGGAGTGATGCCAGTATGACTCACACCAAAGCTAACAACCGTTCTGCTGATTGACGGACTGATTTTATTAAACAGATGTTTGTTGAAGGCAATAAAGCTGTTCCTGTAGCACCCTGCCGTGGTGGTCATGGGACTAGGGGCCGGGGGAGGAGTCGGGATCGAGCATGGCAGTGAAGTGGGGTACAGGGTGAGCAGGACCCCGTCCTCTCCTTCCGCCCCCAGGGCTGCTTCCTTCTGGCCGCCAGGCTCTGCATCAGGGCCTTCCTCAGGTCCCTGCCACTCACCATGCCCTGAGATGGTGGTCACCATCTGTGCTATAACCAGGGTGGTGAGGGTCCCCCACTCTGGCTGTGCAACCCAGCCTCGAACGCCTGCCCAAGCCGGTCTGCAAGTCAGTCTGCAGTCCTGCCCCCACACCTAACTCTTCGCGTCCCCAGGGAGGCTTTCGTTTTCCTCTTCAGCAGGGTTAGGTTTTAATTGGCTGCCCAGGGTTAAGAAGGAGTATCTCAGGCCTCCAGCCATGCTAAAAGGAGAGAAACAGTGAGAGTAAGTATCTGGGTAGCCACAGCTAAGCAGCAGAACTGACGCCCGTATGATGTGTGTTTATTGCATTATAATCACATTGTTTAAAATTCTTATTGTAATCAATCGAGCTGGTTTTAAAAAATCTCACTCACCAAATATTTAATCCTACAAAGTTTAATACAGAGAAAATGTAGTCTCCACCAACTAACATCCCAATGTACGCAACAGACACATTCTGCAAAAAAGGGAATTCTGCATTAAAAGTGAACCATGTAGGGGAAATACAAGCATATGACAAAAGCTAAGGGCAGACATTTTAATTACTTTGCATAGAAACTGGGAGAGAGGAGATGTGCATCAGATATTGAGTAAATGAGTGAAAATTATGTTGGCTTTAGAAAAATATAAATAGCAGTAAAAACAGAAAATCCAATATTCCTCTCCCCCTACTTGGGGCAGAGGTGGCAGAGCTGAGGCACAATCAATCAGCTGGCCAGGGCCCATCTTTGCACTGGCATCCTAAGCCTGAGTAGTGCGGAGACCGGTGAGACTCCAGGCCCACGCTGTCCAGCCTGCAGACAGGGAATGACTGACCCCGGCGGGCTCTCCCACGCTAGGAGCTCATGCAAACGGAGCAACTAAGTGGTTCTGGTGGAACAGACCCAGAACACAATCCCTGTTCGCTCCTCGCCTCATGACTGAGCAAGGAGCTGGCTGAAAGCAGCCCCTCCAGGGCTCCCTCTGCAGGGAGCTGGCAAAGCCATCACAAGCATTCTGGGTTCCTCCTTCTGCTTTCTACTTCACCTCCCCACAACATCTCCACTTACTCACCCCAATTTAAGAGCAATACTTTGCCCTTCCTTTCTAAGATTGAAAAGGCCCGCTGTTTCATGCACTGGGGGATCAGGAGGAGTCAGAAGAGGCCCCCAGACCCAGCTGAAGATGTTACCGCCTCTGTTCTCACTCCTCTTCTATCAGCCACAAAGGAAGTTCAGCTCTGCTCTGGGGTACAGTTCCGGTCCCCTCAGCTCCCCAGTGCGGCGGGGCCCTGCGCACTGCCCTTACCTTGACAGCTCCCACCACGGCCGTGGTCAGCGCTGAGTTGTAGTGGCTGCACAGCACCGTGGCGAACATCAGCAGGAACCTGGGGAGGACACAGGCGCTGAGGGCTTGGGGGCCCGCGTGGGACTTTATGCAACTTTAATGAACTCGCAGTACTGTCCGAGCCATGCTGTGGACACCTCGGTCATGGACTTGTTCCAGGACACGGGCACGCTGTGTATCCAGGGCCTTCCTGCTCCCTCCGTTTCCCATTACTGCTTCCGTGCAGTGGGGTGAGGAGGAGGAAGTTTCCTCCACAGCCTGAGATCCACACAATGGCCTTGTAGCAGTGTTTACCCTCTCTGTGGCTGGAACCTCCTGCTGTGCTTTCACACAACCCGGTGCTATAAGGAAGGATAAACTAGGGCTGGCGGGCATAAGCCCTGCCTTGCAAGTGGGTGGTCGTGAGTTCAATCCCTGATACCAAAAATTAAAAAAAAAAAAAAAAGAAGAAGGATAAACTCAAGGCCTTTATAGGTTAAAGGGCTGCAACTTGAGACCACGCTCATCAGTGGAACAATGCAGACCTGCATGCGTAAATGCCATGTTGTCTCCCTAGTGTAAAATACAGAAAGAGTAAATAAGATCCAAAACCCACAATCGATATCCTCAGAGAGAGAGTGGGGGAGATTGCTTGGAAGGAAAGGGGATAGCGGGAAGAGAAAACAAAGTCAGAGAGCTCCTCTGGGACTTCATCCCAGTCCTGGAAGTTTAGATTTGTAATCTCATGGAAAACTTATTGGAATTCCAGTAAATTAATTCCAATCTACCACTCCCAGTGTAACCCACGGGGAGAATAAACACTAAAATGTCTATTAGTGTATTTATAGTTATGAGGAGCCCAGGGGTCCTAAGAACAGAGACCTCAACCCAGGACCCAACCCAGATTTCATTAATTAGTGAAGAAGGGAGAGGACTGAGGATGAGCGACTGGGAGAATGGCAGGAAATCTGTGAGCGCCGTGAGCTGGGCAGGAGGCCTGAGATCACCTCTGCAATACGCAGAGAGCAGGACATGCAGAGAGACCATCTGCACAGCACAGTGGAGGGAGCATCTAATGTATAGGGGGCAGTGCCTCAGCTCTGAGGTGCAAGCTTCTCTGCCCTGGGCAGTCAAAACCCCTTATCTCGAGGCTCCATCCCAGGACAGCCCTGGAGCCCTGGCTCTTCATCCCACCAGTGTCACCCATGTTTTGGGAGTCACGGGGCAGGGAAACAGCAGCCCAGCTTCAAACATTACACACCAGCTCCTCAGCCAGCCCTGTTTACATTGCTGAGCGCCAGTTGAAGGGAAAGGGAATGGCTTAGCCAGCTCTGTGCACATCAGTGTGTAGAGACAGGGCCAGGCTTAGCCAAAGTGGAGATGATTGCTCTTTGTTCAAGGAGAGTCAGCCAGGTGGTGCTCCACAGGAAAGAAGGGAAAAGATACAGACAGATAGATAGATAGATAGATAGATAAAATTATACTACTAATCTCTGTTGGTTCATCAAAAAATGCTTCGTACTTTTGTTGTTTAATCATTTTTCATGCCTATGTCTTGTAATCTGAGCAACTACTTTGAATAATATGCAATACAGTAACCATTGTTAATCTCCTTGTATATTGTTTTGAAATTCTGTATCATCGTTTTTTTTTGTTTTAAAATTTAAAATAAAAAAATGTTTAAATCTGTTTAATTCACTAGATTGTGAGTGGAACTAATTTGTGATAAAATGATTTGGAGAGTTTAACCAGTCAACCTCAGTTAATAAGCTATGAATCAAGTCACACAAGTCAAGGTCCTTATTTCTATGGAAACATTATGAAGTCTGTAAACAGAACACCAGTATTCAGAGGTTGGACTTGGGGCAGGGGATGTAGCTCAGTGGCACAGCACCTGTGTGGCAAGCACAAGGTCCTGAATCTGATTCCCAAAACAAAAATAAAAAAGAAAGAAAGAAGTTAAACTCGGAGGCTTCATAAAGATATAAATTTTTCAAATTGTTACAATCTTAATAAATTGGCTTGTTCATTTAGACAATGATCAGTAATCCTATTTGTGTATAAAATGAAAGACTTAAAACACTCAACTGGACCTCACTGGGTGCCAACCCTGGCCCCTAGAGACACAGGGGGTGCTGTGAAATCAGAGCCAAGAGGCAATGCCCACCCAGGGTGGCTCAGATGGGCAGCTCCCCGCAGCCAGGCAACACTGGACACTGCCTGCATCCTCATGGATTTAGCCTGCTCCCACTCAAAATCTGTAGAAACGCGTCCACAGATCTAGGACCCCAGGATCCGCTCCCAGGAGGGTGCCCAGGACTTGCATGCCCTCACCAGCTGCCCAGAGCCCAAGGCTGAAAGCCCAAGGCCCTGACGCCGCCTAACTTCCCCACTGAATCTGAACACACGGATACACTCTCTGTGTCCCTGCTAGATGTCTCCAGAGAAGGCAACTAGAAGCCACTGGATTCAGAGTACATTCAAATGATTTTTGAAGAAACAGAATCTACTTCTGCATGCAAGTAAATAAGATATGGTGTGGTAAGACTCTCAGCTAAAAGCACTTTTCCTTGACTCCATGCTAGGGAAACCACACCACTTTCAACACCAAAGACGCCCACCACCTGCCAGCTGCTGCAGATTAATAAAATGCACACACATTATAAACCACTGCCACACATCTAGCATCTTCTTGCTATTATGTATTTTAAATCGTTATTCCATCTGTGTACATTCGAAAAATTACAGCACTTACATTCGATGCTCAACAGACAACAGAGGCAAACTGAGCATGAGGTTGATAGGGGCTTCATGGTAGTGACCCCAAGTGGAAACCCAAGAATCAAACCCTCTCAGAATCCCTCCCTTCCTGTGTCTAAAAATGGTACAAAAAGTAACCGGTTTACCGAAGTCACATGGCATGATCGTGACAGTCACAAATAATTCTAATGACCTAGTGGGCCACTGGCTCCTCTGACCACTGCATACACCAGTGTGTATGTAAATTCAACACAACATTCAGATACTGAGAGGCCACTTTTTCACTCCTGCCACTCACAGTGGTCCTGGGCTCCTAACTCCCTGCCCAAAGCAGAACTCTCTTCCACAAGGTGGGCCACGTACTTTAATCTTCCTGCTTTCTGTCTTAGAGCTGGCCACAATGAAATGCTCTCACCTATTCTGTCCCAGATCATAAGACAGATCCAGAGGAAGGAACGCGGCCCAGAGAGGCCACAAAGACCACGCGGTCTCCCCGGCGCTCCACCAGCAGCAGCTCTCAGCCCTTCATCCAGCCCATTTCTCTGTGACTGTCCAAGATTCTTGCACATCTACACAGTGATGCCACCATGCAAACCCAAAGGACAGGGCTTAGACAGCTTCAGCACATCCGAATACATGAAGGGTGACAGAAAGGTGGGCAGGAACTGACCAGGCCACCAGCCGGGGCAGGTCAGAGCCCAGCTCCATCAGGACGATGTTCCCCTGCCGGGGGCCTTTCCAGACCAGCCCAGGTGTCTCTGCATCCAGCTGCATCTTTGTCACCTTTAAAATATCCTCTACAATAAGTCTGTCAGGGCACAGTGTCCCTGAGTCCTGAAAGCCACTCTGGCCAGTTACTCAAAAGTAATTGGAGGTGCTCATGAGAACCCCAGCTTGTGCTGGTCAGTCAGAACTGTCTGAATTTGGGGCTGAGCCCTCAGCCTAGAGGGTCTGACCCTGCCTCCTGCTGGACAGATCTGAACTGAACCCAGGTAGGGGACATGCAGCTGGTGTCCTTTGTCATTTTATGGTTTGTTCTGGTTTCCATACTAGGGTGTCACTGTGTTACAGACAGCTCAGTAAGAAATATTCTAAGTGGCCAGAAATATTCTAGGTGGGCTGGGCCCTTGAAGGAGCCAGTGGAGGGGACAAGACACCTTGCAGCTGTAGTGGAGACATCTGCTGAGGGCCAGACCTCAAGACAAAAGACGAAAGGAAAGTGCCCACGTACTTCCCCCAGGGCTGAACCACAGGGACTGATGTTTTAAATAGGTACCGATCACCTGGGAAAGGCAGGGAGAGGCACTGAGCCTCACACACACCCGACCCCCGGTGAAACTGCTGCTCCGTTTCCGGCCTGCCCGCTACCTGACTTGCTTCACCATTTGATCCTGACTTAATCAATCTCACCTGAGCAATTCTACTCATAACCATACTACATGACCATGGTTCTGTCCCACCTGATGCCCACCTATGATTTCCCATTTTCCCCCACCCTGGGCCCCCAGGAGTGTAAAAGTGGCCTCTCCCCAAAATGGCAGGGTCCCTGGACCCCTGTGTCTCAGACAAAAGCTTTCTTTCTCTCAATAAATATACTCTGCTCTTAACCTTCATTGTCCCTAAAATTTATGCTTCGATTTTAGAGAACATGAACTTATACCAGCCATCCAGCAGGCTGGGAGTTTCTTTCCCCTCTGTCAAAAGCTCTGAAAGGTTCGCCATCACCAATTCAGGGACTTGTGACAAGGGAACGGTGCACACGTGTTCACTACAGGCACAACTGGCTTGTGGATATTTTCTGCCCACATTTGGCTGAGTCTTCAAATGCAGCGCACCATGGAGACAGACAGATGAATGTAATTTCCAGAGGGAAAAAAGGCACTTCACAGAGCGAAACAGAACATTTAGATTTGACTTCTCAAGAGATATCAGGGACCCACACTTCTATTTTCTATAATTTCTTACCCCATAAAACAGGAAAGAAGGAACTGCATAATAAATAGGACATTCTTCCACTGGTTGAATTCAGTCGCCTATTATTAGAAAGAAAAAATTTATGATTAGACAAACAGCATTGTGAATCAGGTCTTTCGCTTTAACCAAACTGTTTTGCCACAGGAACTACCTTCTATACCAGACAGGAATAGGGTCCTAACCCTTCCCTCTGGAGGGTCCAGTTTTTAAAATCCTAGGCCGAGGCCGGGCGTGTTGGCTCACGTCTGTAATCCCAGCACTCGGGAGGCTGAGGCAGGAGGATCGTTGTGAGTTTGAGAACAGCTGGGGCTACAAAGTGAGCTCAAGGCCAGCCTGAACTGCATAGCGAGACCCTGTCTCAAAAAGACAAAAAATAAAATAAATAAAATAAAATCTTAGGCCATTCTAATTGTGTGAGATTGATCAAATTCCTTTCCCTCCCTGAACCTCAGCTTCATCTTACAAAATGGGGATTATTAAAAACAACAACCACAACAGCTTCCTTAAAAGGCTGGTGTCAGGACTGAGTGAAATTCAGCTTCACTGGAGGCCAGGACAGAATGACAGCTCTTGTTGCTGAATCTATTATTTACCTTACAAACCTTTGCTAATTCGTAATGATGAAATTGAGTTTTTACAAATAAGCTTTGAAAAGAGCTTATTACCAACTCAACAAGGTTGGAAAGAAAAGTCCAAGCTCCTAAACTGTTCTCAAGAACTTGCATCGTGGACAAATAAACTACAAATTACTACAAAGCAGTCCAGTAACTGAGGGAGAGGAGACTGTAGACAGAGACCTTAAAGGCTCAGTTTCTGCTTCCCAGGAACTTACTTCCTTACTGAGAAAATAAAATCAATCCTCTTGAAATGGCAGAAAACAATGCAAACAAATACTCTTCATGTGTCCCTCTCCTGTCTCCAAACAACAGTTTAGGGATGACTCAAGTCCATGTATAAGTAGGCACTCAGGAATACGACTGGGACCCAGTCATGGTGGGGCACACCTGTAATCTCAACACTCAGGAGGCTGAGGCAGGAGGAACGTTGCAAGTACAAGGTTGGCCTGGGCTGTGTAGTGAGGTAAAGGCCAGCCTGAACTGTATAGTGAGACCTGTGTCAAAAACCAACAACAAAAATGATTGGATCAAAGTTCTGTTCACTTTCTGATAAGCCATAATTTGCTAACCAACTGTTAGTAACCCCGTACGTTTAAAACCATTTACATCATTTTAAACTTAGGATACAAATTTTTAAACAATTAAAATGGAATTCTCTACTTGGTAGAGCTGTGTCACACTTGGCTGACATTGATTTCTTTAGTAATGTTTTGCCTCCTATTAACAAAGAAGATACACAATAAAGGTTGGTGGCTGTTGGATCTGGTTGAGGGGCACATGGCTCGTACTATTTCTGAGGCTTCTGTATATATTTGAAAGCTTGTGTTACAGGCAGCTGAGTTAGACAGAAATATCATAGGCAGTGAGACAGGGCTGGGCCCTCCAAGGAGCCAGTGCAGGAGACCAGATACCCTACAACTGTGGGGGAGACAGACATCTCCGCTGTGGACCAGACCTCGAGACGATGATAAACCAAATGCACCCACACACTTCCTAAGGACAGTCACCAGGGACTGATATGCTATCTAAGTCTCCATCCCCCTGAGGAAGCCAGGAACCCCCAACCCAACCCCTATAGGAAGAGTCGCTGCTCTCTAAGCATGCCCCCATCTGTCCCCAGTTTAATCAATGTTACCTGAGCAATTACTCTCATTAGTAGACCACAGTTCTATCCCACCTCGTGCCCACCTTCCGAGTTCCCATGCTTCTCCTACCTTAGACCTGTCTCACTTTGTGGCTCTGCTCTAAAAAAGTCCCTAGAAAAGACACAGTCCCTGGCAACCTACCAGGACCCCTTCTCTCTTTCTCTCAGACAGAAGCTTTCTTTCTCTCAATATATTCTGCTCTTAACCTCCGTTGTTCCTAAAATTCATCCTTCGATTTTAGAGAATACAGATTCATACCAGACATATAGCAGGTTGGATTTCATTCTCCTACATCACTTCCATCATTAAACAAGTTTTTTTACATGCTTAGTTATGAGTGTTGGGGTTCAGCTCACTGATAAAACTCATTCCTAGCACACACAGGTCCCTGGGATGAAACACACACACACACGCACACACATGCACACACTCACACACACAGCTCACTTCGAAAAAACTCATAATTTTTAATCTCTTTTACTGGGAAGCCCTAAACCAAATGAGGGGGCTGAAAATATTCTAAAGAATTAAAGACAAAAGGATGTGCAAAAGCAATGAGAGGCCAAAAGCAACAGAAAATAATACAATTATAGAGAGCATTTATCTGAAATTAAAATATTAGAAATAAAGGGGAAAAGATAACATTTTTCAAAGAGCTACCAACAGTAAATACAAACTGTGGACTCCTGGTACCACACAACACTGGGGTTACTTGCAGTTTTCATTAAAACATGCAGATTAGGGGCTGGGGATTTAGCTCAGCGTCATAAGCACCTGCCTTGCAAGCAGGCGGTCGTGAGTTCAATCCCTGGTACCGATAAAAAACGAAAAAGACAAAAAAAAAAAAGCAGATTCTCTGGGACTTGGTTTTCACAGATCTTAGTTTATGTCTTTAATGAGTGTGTGCGGGTGGCAGTTTCAGAAATACCGCAGCCTGATGTTTACTCTAAACAGAAAGTAAGTAAGAGTAATAACAAGAAAGCATCTGCCACTGGGCTGGCTCTTTCCATCAGCGCAAGTTGAAATGTGACTCTTCCAGTTTACACTTGGGGTTCATTTTTTGGCAGGGCAGAAACCGAGCCCTCAGTGTGAAGCCCTGTTTCCCCAAATGGCCTGTGGACCCCTTCGGAGAACGCGGATAGCGGGGCTCCCCCACTGCCTCCCCAGGGCCTGGCTGTCCCGGAAGGCGCTCGCCCTGACCCTGCTGACCTGAGGGACAATCCGGGCCCAGAGAGCACACCCAGCAGCTGGTGACCCTGCAGGCCGGCTGCACCAAGCAAGGCCTCCGGCCACAGCAGGGCTCCCCGCGGGCCCGGCCATCCCTGTGTCCCCGCCAGGTCCCGGCCAGCTGAGAAAAGGCGCCTTCACTCTCCTTGCAGGACAGGAGTCCGCTCCTTGGGCTGCTTCTCCAGCCGGTAACTTGGGAACCTGATGGGGCTCACTGTGGCAGGCCGCTTGTTTAGGTGGAACCCGGCCTGGAATCTAACACCGAATCCCCGCACAGGACGTGACCGCAGTACAACACTGCGTGGAAACTGCGTCCCCTCCACAGGGGACACTCGGGGCAGGAAGAAGAGCACAGGTGAGACGGGAAGAGCGCTCTCTACTGCATGAGCCTCACCTGCACTGCACAGTGCACGCCAAGACGGTGATGCCAAACCAGGTGAAGATGAGGCCCAGCTGGGCATGGCAGTGCAGGCCCATGGTCTCAGCTACCTGGGAGGCTGAGGCAGGAGGATCACGTGAGGCTAGGAGTTTCACACCAGCCGGTGGAATACGGTAACACCGTGTCTCCAAAAAGTAATACAATAAATGAAGTAAAAATTTTAAAAATATGAGGACTGCGTGTACATGTTAGGCCTCTTTTTATTTTTATTTATTTATTTATTTTCTGTCTTTTTAAGGCAGGGTCTCGCTATGCAGTTCAGGCTGCCCTGGAGCTCACTGTAACTCAAGCTGGTCTTGAACTTGCAACGATGCTCCTGCCTCAGTCTCCCGAGTGCTGGGATTACAGGAGTGCACCACCACACCTGGCTTTAGGGCCTCTTTTTAGAAAATACAAGAGTTATAGTTTTTCACAAGTGAAGGAAGGAAACACTCACTTTTCATACACAAGTACGGGCACAGAGACTGTGGCTCAGGGTGTGTTTCTGGAGCAGGCTGCCTGGATCTACCACCTGCTGTCCTCAGGAAGTTACTTAAACTCTAGCCTTGAATTCCATTTCTGTACGATGGGGATAATGACTGTATTCTCTCCTGAGGGCTGGTGTGGGAATGCAATGAGACAGTCACAAGCAATGCTCCAAACACATCCTCCACGAGTGTCAGCATCACGGTTACCCTGCATGAGAACGTGGAAACCTCTGCATGGTGACCGCGGCCAGCGGAAACTCCCAGAAACGTGTGAATCAATGAGCAGGATGCAGGAACCCCCATCGCTGCAGAAACCCTGTTTTAAGTTATGAATGTCATAAGCCTGGTCTGTTTCACTGTGAAGGTGCCTAAAATCCTGTTTCTGGCCACTGTGTCATTCAGCACATTGTCCCTATGGAGAAATATCTTTTATTCTCAAATAGGTTTTCAAGAGCTTGAAAGAGTTGTATGATTTTTATTCCCAGTAATAACTATAAAAACAAAGTCACTCCCCAGGTGTGGTGGTGCACACCTGTACTGCAGCCCTCTAGGAGCCTGGGTCAAGACAACTATGAGTTCAAGTCCAGCATGGGCAACGTAACCATTTAGTGACACTCTGTCTCAAAAGAAAAAAGAAAACAGGTCCTAGGGATATATGCCTAGTGCAAAGGCCCTGAGTTCAATCCCCAGAGGCAGAATCAATCCATACACAGATGGATCCATACACACTCCCGACTGAACACTGGCAGCCTTTCCTTCTCAGGGATGTAGTTTTACTGGAGTCACCATGTCAGCAAAAATGGAAAATGGAAACCAGGTCTGGTGGAGGATCACAGGCTCAAGTCCCATCTGGGCAGCTAAACAACTTAGGAAGACCATGTCTCAACACAAAAAAAAAAAAAAATTTAAATGGAGCCCAGTGTTGACAGCCAGGGGTCTCACTCAGGGGTGGACAGTGGTACTGGAACTCAGATTTTTATTGTTTTCCAGTAAGTTTCACACACCAGCTTCTGTAACTATTTCTTGCTACTCTCCAACTGCCTAAAGATAAGTACCAGCGTAAAGATGGTACCAAAGGATCATTAGGTTATCCCATTTATTTTTTGAGACAGGGCCTCACCATGTGGCCCAGGTTGGTCACAAATTCCTGGGCTCAAGAGGCACTTCTGCCTCATCATCGTGGGGAGCTTGGACACAGATGAATCTGGTCCTCCATCATTGTTTTACGTGCCCTCCCACCGAGCCTGGCTACTCCCATACTCTGATCTTCTGTGTGCCAAATCCCTGACACTAACACTGGAAAGCTGGCTACATGAGACGGCACTGACCATGGCCGCTCACCTGCCGGAGGTCTCCGGTGGAGACACTGATGAGAAAAGTGGGGATGATCATGAAGCAGGCATTGTAGAAGAGCACCCCATACTTCCCCAGCTCCTACAAGAAAAAAAACAGAACCCCCATCAACCTCAGAAACGCAAAGCATGGGACTCCCTGGAACACACACCTGCGCACAGTCAGACAGACCATCCTGACCAACTCTGACTGAGATATTGTCAGAGAATTTCTGACATCAAATGTTGCATTTTAGTTGTGCTGTGATTTCTGAATAAATATTTATTTGATACCAAAAAGTATAGGTAAAATGGATGAAATGGAAGGCCTCCAGGTCCGCTGTCTCTACTATTCTGTAAGGTTTTTTTCTAAAGCATATTTTGAAAAATGAGAAATCTGAAACAAAATAAGGATTAAAAATGCTAACATAAACAGCTCTATGAAAGCATCTCACTCCCTGTATCAGAGAACGGCCTGGTTTGTATTTACTTTCATTACAGTGACCACACCATGTTTTTCACTAAACACGAGGGACATATTGTGGATTTTCAAAAGGCAACAACCCTGGCTTTGTAAAACTGCCACTATTAAAAGAAACAAATGACCATGGAGATTTAAAAAAAAAAAATTGCTTATGGAAATGAGCCTGCAGCTGGAGAGGCTCTGTCCCTGGACACAAAGAACCAGCGACAAAGACCCGTATGCCGGGTTCATCTGAGCTTCCGGGGGGGCAGCTGGGGTTGGGGCCGCCACCCTGAGGGGTGAGAAGAGCTGTGCTGGAGGACCTCACACCTTTGCCATTCTGGTCCCTGAACCCACAGATAGGAAACCGAGGTTTGGGCAGGTGAAGGTTCAAAGTCGCAATGACAAAAAGTAAAAACAAAAAAAGAAAGGCATGATGGCCAGAGAGGAAAAAGAATGTGCTTTGCCAGATAGTCACACAGGTAGGCAGGCAGACAGACAGAAGGATGGATTCCTCCTGAGTGACATCTTGAGCTGCGAATGTAGCTTGGTGTCACAGCATTGCCTATCATGTAAGAGGCTGTGGGTTCCATCTCCAGCACCACATGGAATGAAATAAAACAGTGGCATCTTTTTTTCCCTATGTAATTTTCCCCCAAAGTTTTCCAAGACTAGGAGTAACAAGGACTTTCACATACAAGACAACTAAAAATCAACCAGTAACTGATAGACCATATTACATAAATTACACACCAACATGCAATTTCACATTCACTTCTGTCATTTGGGGCCGGCCAAGCTGAAAAGCTGTAAGAGGAAGATCTGGTACCTTGGGGTCCATCTTCTGTTTGGTGTAAACTCCATTTGCCGCTGTGAAGACGTCATTCAGGAATACAAACACATAACCTTCCAAGTTAAAGGCAAGGTCGGAACTGAAGGAAGAACAGGAAACAGGCATGATTATTGGAAACTTGCAGCCTGGCCTGCAGGTCCTCATCAAATCCTGGGACACCTTGTCCCCGCGAGCGCCCCCTCCCGATGGGGAGCAGCTACTGCCCCTGCTCTACCTCCAGAAAAAATCAAACCCAGCCAAAGGGGCTGCTGAGGCTCAGTGACTCCAGAAGGCCCGGGACCTTCCTGTCCTCCTCTCTGTGCAAAGCCCTCTGGTTATGTGGGCCCAGCCCAGGGCAGCCCTGGGATAGAGAGGGGACTGGGCAGGAAGGGCTGTGTGGGGGTAGGGGGCGGCAGGGCAGCGGGAGCCACAGCCCCAGCGGTGCCCTGTCGATGCCCCATCAACACAGGACCCAGGTGGGTACCGGCGAGGTCTGAGCTGAGCCACTCTCCCGAAGAACCGACCTGCTTCCCAGCAGACCAGGAAGGAAACACTTCTCCCTAACTGAGGCTCAGGACCCCAGGGCATGCAAATTCATTTACTTATCCACGGCTCATTCATTCTCTGGCTTACTGAGACTCTGCCTGCTCTGACTGGCCTTGAACTCCTGGGCTCCAGGGATCCTCCTGCCTCAGCCTTTGAAGTGGCTGGGAATGCAAGTGCCCCTCACCAATTACAGCTGTGCCTGCTATTTTAACCCTCAAGGGTCAAACGCAGGGCTTCCTCCAGGCCAGGCAAGCATGTGACCACGGAGCGCTATCTGTAGCCCAAGGAATGTAAGTCCTATTACTATTTTATATACGCAGAAGGTCACAGGCAATAAAACTCAATCAGCTGAGGCACGAGGCCTTATGAGCACCTTTAGAAAGGAAAGGCATTTTCGGCATGGGGACAAACAAATCGTCGTGAGTGCCCGGGAGCCATGGCAGGGCAAATGGAGGAACAGCAAGGCTGCTTTACAGTGTATCTCCGGGGGGCCCTCTCTGGCTGACCCTGCCCAGCACAGGAGCTGCTCTGCTCTTCCGGGTGCGGGAGACATGAGAAAGGGTCAGCCCACCTCCACCAAAGGGGGCTGCAGGCCTGGCTCCCAGGCAGAAGGCAGAGGCAGCAAAGCTCCCTGCATCTGTTCTCTAGCATCTTTAGCTCAAAGCAACCATTATCCCAAAGTGGCAGGTGTCGGGTGCCACATCCTGAGTCTCCTTCAGGATCAAAATCAGATTCTCTCTAAGCAAAGAGGGCAGAGCAGACACACATAGCATCAAAACCCAATGCAAATTAAATCATGGCTTTGTGCCAGGTGCTCACTGGCATTACCATCTGCCCACACATCTGTGAATGTGTACATGAGATTTAGGTGATCATACACCAGAACGCTCCAGCTCCATCTCAGAGAGGGGCTTTCCAGGTAGTTGTGGTGGCACGTGTCTGTGATCCCTGCACTTGGGAGGCTGAGAGACAACACCAGTCATCGGGAGTGCAAGTCCATCCTGGTCTACGTGGTGAGGCCAAGGCCAGCTTGAATTTCCATAGCAAGACCCTGTCTCAAGCCAGCATCTTCTCAGTCTCTTGCCTAGTCACACCTGACTCGGCATCAAGAAGAATCTGCCACTGCCCAAGCCAGCAAAGTAGTGTTACATAAACTAAACCTGACCTGAGGCTCCCTCTGCCCTTGAGTCCTTACACAATGAACTATACCCTGACTTAGGACCTGGACGAACTGCTTTCCTGAGAAGCTGAGTCTCAGCCAGCCACAGCCCTGAGCTTCGGGCAGCTGCACAGCCACCTGCTGGGACCTGTTCATAGAAGGCGACACCGCGCTGTGTGCTCCGCCAGCTCGGCTCCTCGCTGGAGTTTCCTGTGCACAGATGCTGCCGGGGTCCATGCCAGCTCTGAGGGCTGCCCGCCCTGGCACTCATGCCTTCATGCACCTGCACTCTGCTAACCTGGTCTAACATTGTTAACAGCTGAATGAGTAGAAAGGGCCAGGCTTCAGGAGACCCTGGGATGGCACTGCCCGCCCTGCTAGACAGCCTGAGTGTCCTGCTAGGACACCAGTGTGACCTGCCGGGGTCCCCTCCCTGCCACTGAGGCCTGCCTTTGTCTGGCCCTCATTTAAGACAGCAGTCAAAGCTCAAAGATGTACAGAAAAGCTCCTTGTCGCCTAGATGAGACTGATTCAGGGAAGCTCTGAGGACTGGCACCTAGGGCCATCTGTAAACATTACTTTTCCAACTTTTCTGGGCGCATGACTGGCTTTAACAAAGAAGATGTAAGAGGAAGTGACACTCGTCACCTGTGGGCAGAAGCTCAATGACCCAGTGCACGGCTCCCCACAACTCCTCCCCACACAGATGACTGAGGAAGCTCTGACTGGGCCAAGGACCTTCGATGGTCCCTGAGCCACAGGCAGCCTCTGGAGCCCTCCCACAAGCACCTGCTACTGCAGGTCCCCAAGCAGAGCTCAGGCAGAGCTCTGTGAACTGAGCAGAGTATACACCAAATGCTTACATCTGTAAAACTTTATTGCAAGCCAGGTGTGGTGGTGCACTCCTGTAATCCCAGCACTAAGGAAGCTGAGGCAGGAGGATCCTTACAAGTTCAAGACCAGCCTGAGCTACAAAGTGAGCTCAAGGCCAGCCTGAACCACATAGTGAGACCCTGTCTCAAAAAGAAAAAAAAAAATCAGAGTAAAAGATAGTCACGATGAATCCCCCTCAAGCTATTCCCTCCGGCTTCAAACACAGCGCTGCCATCATTCCTGACACCTCAGGAAGTGTTCTGGAGTCCTCGTGGATGTCTCTGTGAGGTGTGAAGAAAGACACAGTCACTGCAGCTCCCAAACGCCCTCGAACACACGGAAAGTCGGGCTCGGAAATATATGGCCACGGGGTCCTCGGCCACGTTCTTCAGCAGGTCTGCCGCCTGCCACTTCTTGCTGCTCCCTAAAGTCGCAATGACCATGGGAAGTAACTGAGCTGACTCAGGACCTTGAGGCCGCTGTCACAGTGCAACTAAAGACACTCAAGAAGGAGGAAGTCCCCATCTGCTTCAGAAAGTGACAAGAATGAGATGCCAGGTGTATGCAGGGCATTAGTGGCAATGTGTCTTTCCCTCTGATGTTCTTTGTAAAATATGTCAATGCTCACTGTCATTCTGGATCACACCGCATGCAGGGTGTGTCGCACCAGCAGTAGGTGGGGTCTGTTACCGCAGAAGCTGAGTCGGACCTAGGCGGTCTTGGGTTTGGATGAGGTAACCAGAGAAGACAGGGAGGGGTCACGGCTGGCTTGCAGTTCTCACGGCAGGATCCAGTCTCTGAGCTGCTGGGTGAGGGGAAAGTGCAGATCTCCACCCCGCTGGCTCTTGGATAAAAGAGCTTTTGGAAACAGGCCTTACCCTTTCAACTCATTAGGGGATCCCTAAACATAAGCTGAATAAATTTTCTCAAACACCTACAGCATCTAAAGGGCATTCCTCACAATGAATCACACACTTCTAAACCACTTTGTCAAAGTCTTCGCCTGACGGTAAGTCAAAGTGAGTCAGAAGGAGCCAGGAGAGAAGGGAGGCTGGGCACTGAAGGAGGGGGCACTCCCAACACAGCTCTGTCCCTTTTTAGCTACTTTCCCCACAGGATGTGCTCTGAGCGGCGTTTGTGGGAAACAGTTTCTCCAAGTGTTGCTGTGCGTTGTTTGTGCCTTGTTCTAGACAAGGGTGTGGCAGAGCTTCAGGGCACTGGTCTCAGCCCACAACAAGGACTGGGCAAGCAAAGGGGTCAGAAGAAAGTAAATAACAACCCTCCACCCGCTCAGCGGACTAAGCACACGGATGACAATAACCCACCAATGGCTGCTGCTAACACATCCCTCCATGCTATGTCTTTGTGTCTGCTTTTTTGTGTTCTGTCTGTATCCAGCCCCAGAACAGAAGCTTCATGAAGGCCTGTGTCTTAGTGACTTTTCTCACTGCTGAGACAAAATACCCAATGCCAAATGTTAATGGAGGGAAGGTTTATTGAGCTCACACATTTTAGAGGTTTTGATCCATAATTGGCTGGTTCCAGGGCAGGCTGGCTTTGCAGAAAAACAAGAGTTCATGGTGGGCAGAAGACAGCAAAATCAACACCTGACCTTAACAGTCTTTCTGCCCTTTATACTCCCTCTGGGCTGCTGGGCCCAGTGCTGTGCCAAACCAATCAGTGATCGGACCACATACCCTTAATCCTAGCACCACACACTCCAGATCCAGCCACGGCTGGAAAGCACCACCCCCATGATGGCATGGGGCTTTGGGGGACATCTAGACATAAGCCGTAACAGCCAGAGCTGCTGTCCAGTTGTTGGCTTCCTGACACGTAGCACGATGCCTAGCATACGGGACGGGACACGCTCAGTGGGTTTTTGCTGAAATGTGCCAAGCTCTCCTTTCAACTCCTTGATGGGTTGCTTCACTTCTTTCTCACAGTGACTCATGAGGTGGATAGTGTTTTAATCTCAGTTTAAAAATCAAAGGCTGAAATAACTGAGGAACAGGGAGGCTAAATAGCCTGTTCTAGGTCAACAGGTAATAAATAAGGAGACTAGAAGACCCCCAGGCATCCTGACAGGCACCCCAAATCTTCACTTAAAATGCAAATTCACCAGCCAGGTGTGGTGGTGCACACCTGTCATCCCAGCAGTCTGGGAGGCTGAGGCAGGAAGCTCACAAGTTCAAATCTAATCTGAGAAATTTAACAACTTAGGGAGACTCTGTACAAAGTCCTGGGTTCAATGCCTGCTACTGCAAAAAATAACTTTTTAAAATGCATAAAAAATGAATCAGAATCTTTGAGTCTAAATGAATTAACAAATCACATTAATTGAGATTCCTCCAACCTCCACTTCCTTGCATTCAATCAAGGAGGCATATTTCCTGTTATTGCCTTTACTTTATCGATGAGGAAACCGCAGAATAAAAAGGCTGAGAAGCCACTGAGGCAGGGCTGAGCTCAGGTGTGAATGCAGAGATCGAGCCACACACACACACTGGCCGCCTCTGAGCGCCTGCTTGTGATTGCAGCCTTGAAGTCTGCATTCTGGCTCCTGTATATGACGGATTAGGCAGTGTCCCTGGGCTGTGCTGGCTTCTGTCTGGAATACACAGTACATTTAGTGATGGGGGAAGAGGAATAATGTGTCAGCATGGGCTGCCACCCCAAAACACTTCTAGACAGCATTTTCTACCACTGCAACAGGGAATGCTAAGGTCTCATGATAAAACAAGCGACACACAGGAGCACTGTAGATGTGTTGTGGAGCGTGCGTGCGTGTGTGTGTGTGTGTGTGTGTGTGTGTGTGTGCGTGTCTACTACAGATCAAACCAGGCCTTAGGCATGCTAACCAAACAATCACTGAGCCATAACTCCAGCTCCAATCTGTTATTTAGTTAGTGACTATTTGGCCCCAGGGCTCAAACCCAGGGCCTTTACACTGCATTCACCCTCAGCCCTTTTTGAAGTCTGCTCATTGAGAAAAGGGCTCGCCAGAACACAAAGTTGCCAGGCTGGCTCAAATTTTGACTCCTCCTGTTTCAGCCTTCACGAGGGCTAGGATTCCAGTTGTGCCACCCTTTCCAACTCCAAATCTATTATTTTTTAAGCAAACATCTAAGAACTTCTCAGGTCACAGATTTGTCATGTGCTAAGCAGAGACTGTTACACTTAGAGCCTTGCACAGTCCAGCTAAACTCTCCACCACTGAGCGCCAGCCCCAGCCCCCAAGGAAAACGTGCCTGTCCAAGGCAGTCAGTAACGCCGGTGAGCAGCTCACGGATGTTCTGTTTTGTCTGTGGAGAATAACAGTACGAATGACCGGTAACATTCACTGCGCTCAGCCATGCCGGAACCCGGCTGGAGCCGCTGGGACCCCAGGGCTCCCACTCCCACAACAGATGTGTCACTTAGCAGCTTCATTCAGCTGCAGCCAGACGGAAAATGAAACCCAAGGATGGGACAGAGCTATTGTCAAAGCCACAAAGAAGTCACTGAGCAGAAACAGAGCAAGGTCTTACCCAGCTGCCACCACAGCACCGAGGACAATGGCGAAGACGCTGACCACGATGCCCAGGGAGTGCTGCTTCCTGCATGAGGAAACGGGGAGGGGGAATAAAAATACAGGTTTTGAAATGGACCGATGTGGCCTCAATAGCTCCATACCTAGAATCTAACTATGTGACACAGTCGCTAAAACTGAAAATCAGATCAAATTTGTTTCATAAGCCATTTTCACAATCTCATTACAAACTAATGTCTCTGTGCTCATCTGAGAGACACTAGGACCAAACCAGAAGAGGACTGGGCTCGGGGTCTGGTTTTATGGACCTTGGCGGAGCATGGAAAGGTTTAAAAAAAGTGAGGTTCAGGCGGAGGCTTCTGTCAGCAAGCTGCCAACTAAACTTCATCTTTATGTAACTGTCACAACACAATCCATAGCTGCCTTTCTCAATGTCACCTTTGTGAGAAATTTTTATAGCAGTAGTATGCAAGTTAATTTATTCTAATATCATAAGCACTGCATCAGAATCGCCTTCCTGGATAAGCCCCGCTGCGACCCCAAATGCACAGGGACCCTTTCCTTCTGCATGCCAAAACTGGTGTTTGTTCCATGGAGCTCAGCAAACAGATTTGTCTCTGTCTTGAGATGGTTGTTTCTCCTTTCATAATTCTATAACAAAAAAGTGGCTGGGGATTTAGCTCAACAGCTCATGTGCCTGCCTGCACATGCGAGATCATGAGTTTGATCCCCCGTAGCAAAAAAAAAAAAAGTATTATTTGTCTAATGTAAAGCGATACTTTTTAAAAATCCTTCATCAAGCCGGGGATTTAGCTCAGTGGCATAAGCGCCTGCCTTGCAAGCATGTGGTCGTGAGTTCAATCCCTGGTACAAAAAAAAAAAATCCTTCATCAAGCTTTAATGGATCAGGGGCTAGGGCTAGGGATTTCTTTGCAAGCACATGGTCATGAGTTTGATCCCCAGTACTGATTAAAAAAAAAAAAAAGTTTTAGTGGATCACAGAAGCAAGAAACTGACTTTAATTCAATAACTTTTGTCCTTGGGTAATTACAACTAATAATTCAAATCGACTACCTGGAAAACCAGTTGGATGGCAAGAGTTCACTAGATAAAAAATAATGCAGGGGGGGCTGGGGATTTAGCTCAGTGGCATAAGCGCCTGCCTTGCAAGGGTGTGGTCGTGAGTTCGATCCCTGGTGCCGGTAAAAATACAAAAAAAAAAAAAAAAATGCAGGGGTAGGAACACGAAGGTGATCAAAGAGAAAAGAAAATTCACCCGAGTATGACAGTCTCCAGGAGCAGAGTGAGCGGGATGGTAAACTTCCTGAGCACGGTGAACATCGGCAGGCTGTCAGGGAAAGATTGGAGCGGACGTCAGATGAGCCGCGATGGTTGGTCTTCTTGTTTGAATCTGTCTTGTGTTTTTTTCACTAAATCTGCTAATCTTCCAAATTAAGAAATAAATCCTCACAATTATGGTCTGTTGATTTTCAACAAGGGTATGATATAGCAGGGAAAGAAGAGTCCTTTCAACAAATGGTGCTGAGACACCTGAACATCCGCATGGAAAGAGACTCAAAGCCAAGTCTAGTGGTGCACACCTATCATCCCAGCATTCTGGGAGGCTGAGGCAGGAGAATCACAAGTTCACGTTCAGCCCAGGCACCTTAATGATTTAATGATATCCTGTCTCAAAATTTAAAGGGGGGGCAAAGAGGTAGATGATTGCAAAGGCCCTTGGTTCAATCCATGGTACAGTGCAGTGCAGTACAGAAAGAAAAAAATAAGGAGCAAGCTGAACTCCTACCTCACACCATATATAAAAAACTGACTTGAATTATTTCAAGAACCAAAATGTAGGAACTATAAACTCTATATAAACTGTAAAACTCTTAGAAGAAAGTAGAGGAATACATCTTCATGACCTTGGGTCAGTCTTCTCAGATATAACCCTGTAAGTGCAGTCAACAAAAGAGAAATTAGATAAACTGGACTTCATCGGAATTAAAAAGCTGTCTAAATGGATACATAAAATGAGATATACAGGGGCAGTGGAGTATCAGCCAGCCTTAAAAAGGAATGAAGTTCCGATACAATGCACATGATGAACCAAGAAAATGTCATGCTACATGAATAAGCCAGACCAAAAAATAAATAAATAAATACAAATGCAAAAGGTTCCCATGGTATGAATCATTCAGAGTAGGCAAGCTTGCAGAGACAGAAAGTAGACAGAGATTACGGGAGGTATGGGGTAAGGGGAGCAACGATTTATTGTTTAATTGATGCAGAGTTTCTGCCTGGAATGATAAAAAAATTCTGGAAGTGGATTATGGTGACAGCTACACACCATTGTGAATACACTTAATGCAGGTGAATCGCACACTTAAAATGGCTACGATAGTAGGTTTATGTGATGCATATTTCACCTAAAGTATTAATTTTTAAAGATTTAAAACTTTAGTGTTTTAAAAGAGCTTGGTACAGTGGTGCATGCCTGTACCCCCAGCACTTGTGATGCTGAGGCAGGAGGATTGCTGTGAGTTCCAGGGCAGTCTGGACTACACAGTGAGATTCTGTGTCAAAAAAAAAAAAAAAAGAAACAAAGAAAGAAACAAAAGGAAGAAAGAAAGGGAATTAAAATAAAAAGAAACTCCAAAACTGAACTGAACTTTGTAAATCATACATTTTTTCTAGGATAAAAGCACATATAACTCAGTAATAATTAACAACCTTACTTAAAACAGGCAAAGAGTCTGAACAGACGTTTCTCTGAAGAAGATACAGAAGGGAGCATGGCCGTATGCTCAAGATCATTCGTCAGCAGGAAAACAGAAATCAAAACCACAACGAGACACCCCTTCATCACCACTAGAGTGACTGTAACAGGAATAAGTCTGGCAGGGAGGCAGAGGAGGTGCAACCCTGGTTGGAATGCAAAATGGCGCTGGCACTTTAGAAAACAGTTACTGCAGCTCTTTAAAGTGCTACACGGTGCCAAGCATACACAATTGTAATCCTAGCACTCAAGACGCTGAAGCAGGAGGATCTCTGCGAGTTCAAGACCAGCCTGGGTTACAAAGTGAGCTCAAGGCCAGCCTGACCTGCATAGTGAGACCCTGTCTCAAAAAAGACAAATAATAAATAAGTAAATAAAGTGCTACATGGGGAACCACCAGATGACCTAGTGACTCTCCTAAGATTATACCCAATCAGGGTCAATCCTATCCTTTCAACTTATCAGGCCAAAATCCAAAGTCTTTCTTTCACACCCTGAAAGTTATTCATCTTGATGCTGTTTCCTTCATTCAAAATCTAGTCTGTGTTCAGACCGTGGCCTCCAGGTATCATGTAACACTGAATGTAACCAGGAGAGAAATAGAAGGGAACGTGCAAGGTGACCCATCATGCTACAGAAAGCAAGAAAGTCACCAGAGACTACTGGGGCCACAAAATTCAACCCAGAAGAATTCCCAGTGGCCTGGCATGGGCTGGTTTGAACAGCCAAAAAAATAGCTTTATAAAGAACGGGAACATCATATTAGCAAAACAGATCAGTGGAAGAAATGGCCCAGGAACAGAGCCACAGAAATACAGTCAACTGATCTTTGACAAACAGGCAAAGGCAAGTCAATGGAGAAAGACAGACCTTGCAACAATGGTGCCCAAACAAATGGATACCCACAGGTCAAAAATTGAAATCATACCTTCCACAAAATTAACCCAAAAGGGATCAGAAACTGACACGTGAGAAGGAAGCTATAACCTTCTGGATGATAATAGAAGAAACTCTAGGTGGCCTTGGGTTTGGTGAGGAGTTTCAAATATGAAATCAAAAGCACAAACCACAAAAGAGAAAAATTAATCATGGAGCTTCGTTAAGAACCTCAGGGCTGGGGATTTAGCTCAGCAGCATAGGTGCCTGCCTGGCAATCTCAAGGTTGTGAGTTCAATTCCCAGTTCAAAAAAAGAAAAAAACTTCTGCTCTGTGAAAGTCAGTCTATGTTGAGGCATAAATATAAGAAAAAGTCAACTTTTTGTATTTTTGAGACAGGGTCTCACTGTGCAGTTCAGGCTGGCCTTGAGCTCACTTTGTAGCCCAGGCCAGTCTTGAACTTGCAACAATCCTCCTGCTTCAGCCTCCCGAGTACTGGGATTATAGGCATGTACCACCATGCCCCATGAAAAAGAAAAATTTTTAACTTTCCTAAAAACATCATCAAATTTAACTCAGAGTAACAGCTTTTTTTTTTTTTTTTTTTTTTTTTTTGGTCTTTTTTGAGATAGGGTTTCACTCTGCAGTTCAGATTGGTCTTGAACTCACAGCAATCCTCCTACCTCAGCCTCCTGAGTGCTGTAATTACAAGTGTATGCCACCACACCTGGCCTCAGTTTACTTTCCCAAATTACAAACTATAACCACCTTCACCACATAGCCCAAGCCATATTTTGGAAAACCAATTGTAGTCCTTGAGCTGATGGAAGCCAAGGGTGAGCAACCTCCCACCAACCACCATGCTTCACTGTACCTTAATTTACTGGTGCTTGATAATCCACTTAAGTGGTTCCCAACATAGAGGAGGGGTAGAGGAAACAGCTTCAGTTGAAAAGAAAAGAAAGAAAATTTGGTTAGATCTCCAAAAACGCATTCTTCTCCACACGGTAAAAATGGTGACACCTGCATCCCATCGATAACCAGAGCATTTGCATTCCTTTGCCTGCAGTGACTGAATTTTCCAGAATCCAAAATTCATGCACAAGTTTCCCCAAATGACCCGAATAGGTAGGTGTCCTAGGACATCTAATACCCAGGGAGGGGTGAGGAAGACAACTGTAAAGACCTAACACCTGGACCCTGCCCGCATCGTACAGTATGGACAGGGACCACTGGGGAGCGGGAACTGAGCCCAGCTGAGTCGGGGCGTGGAGAGAGGGTACTTACACAGCCTCCAGGCAGAGCCACAGAGGACTGCAGAGAGGCGGCAGGCTTCCTTCTGTGCCTGCCTGCACTCTTTGGGAGAAAGGAAAACACAATCCTCTCATTACTGGAACATCACAGGGTTTGTGGTCATTTTAACAAGCTGCAGGGCTGGGACAGAGCACTTGCCTTGCATGCACAGGTCCTGAGTTCAATTCTCAGTACCACCAAAAAAGAAAGAAAGAAAAAAAACTCACCAAAAAGCTGTGTACACTGGGCACGTACCTTTGGAGTTTGTTTCAGAGGCCCACAGTGATGACTGATCTACTACTACATCAAACAATGTAAGAGCCAAACTTGAATTAGGTTCATTGAACTCTAAGCTTCCGAATTATTTTCCATCAAAACAAACCATTCCAAGTATATTGGTGAAACAAACAAAAATGTAAGGTCTTCTTCATAAGAAAAAAATAGGGGGCTGGGGATTTAGCTCAGCGGCATAAGCGCCTGCCTTGCAAGCAGGCAGTCATGAGTTCAATCCCCGGTACCAATAAAAAGGAAAAAGACAAAAAAAAAAAAAAAAGAAAAAAATAGAATCCTTTGTTAAGATAACTTGGAGCTTTTAAAATTGTATAATAATCCATTGCTATCATAGTGACTTCGACATTTCTTTTTCCATTAAAAAGTAGCTGGGCATGGTAGAAAATGCCTGTATCTAGCATTCAGGAGGCTGAGGCAAGAGAATCATCACAAATTCAAGGCCAGCTGTTAAGATTTGTGTCTGGATGTCCCCCCAAGCCTCACACAGTCCTGGGAGCAGCCTTTTAGGGACAGCTGGATCTAGAGTTTGTGATTGGCTCATTGTCTAGTGCTGGAATTGGGGATGTGAGCGCTACATTTATACGTAGCCTACATATAATATAAGGGAGGGAAAAGGCTTGCTCTGCCCCCTTTGCTCTTGTGGCTTTTGTTGTCTTTCTCTGCCCCCATGAACAGCTGCCCCTCTGCCATGTGCCACATGCCTTGGAGCCTGCTGTTATGAACTGAACCTCTAAAAACTGTGGGCTAAATAAACCTATCACCCTTTAACTTTGGGTGTCAAGTATTTTGTCTCAGCAATGAAAGAAAAGTAATCAAGACATCAGCTCAGATTACACAGTGAGTTCAAGACCAGTCTAAATTATATGGTGAGACTCTGACTCCAAAAAAAAAAAAGTCAGGTAGAGAAGTGAAAAAAAATCAATAAGTTATATCATGTCCAGAACAAATTCTCTATAATGAATGTGATCATTATGTATATCTAAACTGTACCAGTAAGATCTGAGTAGAGGAAAATAAAAGAGAAGATAACAAACCCAGGCCTTGGCCTTTTACTAGTGACTAGTTACTGGTTAACAGCCTACAAATGACACAACAATAATACAATTTAGGTATTAAGAGCTTTGAAAGATTTGCATATAGCCCGGAATGATGGTGCATGAGTGTAACCCCAGCACTGAGGGAGGCTGAGGCAGGAGAACTGCAAGTTCAAGTCCTACGGGGGCAGCTGAGGAGACTCTGTCTCAAAATAAAAAGTGCAGAGGCGGTAGCCTGAGCACCCCTGGCTTTGATCCCTAGAATAATAATAATGATAACTTTTTTTAAAGGTTTGGATATCAAAAAGGATGAGTTGCCCTCATTTTTCTATATAATTCAAAATAAAAATAATATTGACTTCCAGTTTGGGCAAGCAGTGCAGCAGATGATTTGCAGAACAACTTAAAAATGCTAGTTAAATACTTTAAACCTTCATCAAAGCATGATGCCAAAAGAATCTTCTGCCTAAAGAAGGGAAAACAGGGCCAGGCATGGTGTCACATACCTATAATCCCAGCGCTCAGGAGACTGAGGCAGGAGGGCCACTTCAAGTCTGAGGCCAGCCTGAGCTACAACATGAACTGCATAGCGTGGCCCTGCCTCAAAAAGCTAAACAACAAAACAGAAGAAGAAGGGAAAACAAACAGAAGCCCAGAGAGAAACAATGGCAGCTTGAAGACAGCAGAATTCTACCTTCAAATTTCAGCCAAACTGGAACGCTACCCCCAAAATACCTTTCAGAAACAAAAGTAAAATCTGAAATTTTTCTCAGATGTTAAAGGGCAAAATTACAGCAGATCTAATTTCCTATGTCCTCATCAGCTTTGACCCTAGAATAGGGCAGCAGTCTGGAAGATGGCTTGTAATGCTTTTACCCAGTGATATGGGCAGGTTCTGCAGGAAAAGGAAGTGAGGCACAGAGAGAGACAGACGGGCTGGGGGGTCACAGCTCCCAACTGTCAGATCTGGACTGCAGGCTGCTTGGGATTGGCTAAGGCTCAGTGAGGAGAGAGGGTGGCGATCTGTTTACACAGCCAGTTAGAATACAGCTCACTGCCTGAATGGAGAAACCTCTGGCCAAACTTGAACCATGTATGGCAGCTGCTTTAAGCCAAACTTAATTCAACTTATCACAGAGAGAAACTATGGGAATCCATCACAGCAGAACACAGGAAGTGTGAGATGCAAAAAGGAAAGAAATGCAAAGGAAATGGCAAATAAGTAAGCATGTATCTAAACATAAAATAAATAAATATAGACTGAGATTTAATAAAGGTAGACTCTTAAGGTGCTTGATGACAAAAGCATAGAGTTAGGAGAGGTACAGAGAATTAAGGGATACCTTTACTCATCAGCTTTGGAATTTGATAATTTAATTATGCCTGTTGTGATTTCCAATATAATACTGAAAGCATTGAGCCAGAAAAGATTCACTCACCTCATATTCTTAAACGTTTTAATTCACCAGGAAGGGTTAGCAACTTAAACTTTTAAGCATCTAGTGACAGCACCTCAAATATATAGATAAAGCAAAAAACCAAAGCACAATCAAAACCTGACAAACACACCAAAAGAAAAAGACAAACCCACAATCAAGGGTGACAGGTGCCTCCCATTCCCCATGCTTCTCTTTCACCCAGAAGAATCTTTATTCCTTCTCAAAACTGGGGGAGCTCATTTACTATTGTAGTTAAAACGAAGCAGCTAGGCATGGTGGCACATGCCTGTAATCCCAGCACGAGGGAGACTGAGGCAGGAGGATCACAAGCTCAAACCCAACCTGAGCAGTTTAGCAACTTATCATGCCAGGTCTCAGGACGGAAAAATAAAAGGGCTGGGGATGTAGCTCACTGAGAAGGCCCTGGGTTCAATCTCCAATCTCCAACATTAGAAGAAAAAAGAAAGAGACAGAGAGAAGCTATGCAGCTTCCAAGACTAAATTATAAACAATGCCATTGTGACCTTGCTGTCCAGAACATTGATCCTTAAAAACTCTGACTAGGGGGCTGAGGATTTAGCGGCATAAGCACCTGTCTTGCAAGCAGGCAGTCGTGAGTTCGATCCCCGGTACCGATAAAAAGGAAAAAGACACACACACACACACACACAAAAAAAAAAAAAAAAAAAAAAAAACTCTGACTAAAAAAAAAATCAGCCCAAAAGAAAAACAGACAAAAGCCTTTGAGAGCTACTTCACAGAGAAGGCTATCCGACTGGAGACTCAGGAAGCAAACGGTCCTAGCTGGAAGACATGTCATCTTACTGCTGAGAAACAGAGTGGGGAGATTTAAAAATGAAAAACTGCTCAACCTCGTAAGGAAGCTGGGAAATGACAAAGGCCAAAAGATGTCACTCTACACCCAGCAGATCGGTAGGTTGTTTTTGTTTTGTTTTGTTTTTTGTCTTTCCGAGGCAGGGTCTGGCTGTGCAGTTCAGGCTGGCCTTGAGCTCACTTTGTAGCCCAGGCTGGTCTCGAACTTGCCATGGTCCTCCTGCCTCAGTCTCCCCAGTGCTGGGATTACAGGCGTGTGTCACCACACCTGGCATTTATAAGCACACTTTAATATGAGTAGCAAACCAAGGAACAGTCAGAATGAGAGGTAACCAGAATCCTGCACTTTCATCCCAAGAATGAAGTGAAAAACAGAAGAGTGTGCTGCTATTTACCAATGCCGAGGACACGTGGATGGTAGGAGCAGCAGCTCCACCCCTGGTGAACACCCCAGATGGCGTGTGCATGCACACGCGTGTGCGTTCACATGCTAAAGCTCACACAGAGTGTCACACTTCAGTGGGACCGCATTGGGAGAGAGGACTTTTAAAGAGGTAACTAAGACTGAGGTCAGCAGGGCAGGCCTCAGGCTATCAGCACTGGTGTCCTTCTAACACAAGGAAAATACCCTAGGAGTATGGAGAACGCGCACACACATGCAACACACACACACGCACAAATGGGAACAGCTATGAAGGGACAGAGGGGAGACCTTCTGCAAGCCAGCCCACTGGCTCCCTGGCTGGCACATTTCTGTGGCTTTGGCCACTCTGTGGGTGCTACTGTGTGACAGCAGCCAGGGCTAAGCCACGGGCACTGAGACCTAAGTGTGTTCAGAGAAGTAATTTTTATTTTTCTACCTAAACTAGAAACAACCCATCCCACCCTGAAGAACACAGAAGTAATCTGTGGTCTACATCTACAAAGAAAAAGAAAACCTGGGTAAATGTAGCCATTAGAATATTATTATTTTTTTCCAAATCCGTTTTATTTCAAAGAGAAAAAGAAAAAAACAAACAAGCTTTCAAAAGAAGTCAATCAGGGGTAACAACAGTACATACACTGCGCATTGTCACCCCCAAATCATTCACCCAGAGCACAAGACATCTGCGTTCAATTGTCTGAACAATACCAGCACAAAGTTTTCTCTTCGGTAAACTCAGAGACATCAGTAGCATAACTACCTTAACTACGTTTTAGGGTCTGGGATTTAGCTCAGTGGCATAAGCACCTGCCTGGCAAGCACAAGGTTGTGAGTTTGATCCTGGTACCAAAAAAAAAAAACCACCAATTTTTTTATAGACATATACACACATAGGTATATATGTTGTTTCTTTCAGCTTCTCACAGTTATTGTAACAACAAGAATAATGGGAGAGAAAGACTCTGTAATCCTGTTTCATGACCTACATAATCATTTAAAGGTTAATAATTCATTCAACTGTACAATCAGGCATGATGTCTTTTTGTCGATACGTATTTCACAATTTTGAAATTCTTTCTTTTTTAGGGGGTAGTTTTTGGGGCAAGATCTTACTATGCAATTCAGGCCGGCCTTGTACTTCGGAGCCTAGGCTGGCCTCTATCTTACAGTGATCCTCCTGCCTCAGCCTCTTCAGGGCTGGGAAATTACAGGCATGAGCCACACATTTGAAATTCTTAAATTATGTTAACATGTCTAAAAATTATACTATATAAGAGAAGTGTCACAGACCAACAACAGTTTGCTATCTTCCCATGATGGTTAGATAGATGACTTTTATATACTTCATCTTGTCTTGTTTCTTTCTGGGGCTGTCCCCATCAGTAGGGAAGAAGCCAGTGCAAAAGGCACCAGCATTTTCCCTTGTATCTAGGTGTCCCAAAGCTTCACAAGAGGGGCTTTTCAGAGGCTGCTGGACCTAGAGTGTGGGATGTTAGGACCAAGGAAGAGTCATCGCTACATCGCTCTGCTGATTGGTTGAACATAGTTGTGGGAATTACAGGAAGACCCTCGGGGGTGAGGGCTACCTGCCCAGGACAGAATAAAAGGGACAGAAAAAGAGCTGCTGGGCTCACTCATTGTCGCTGGCTGCTTTGCTGCCTGCTCCTGCCCTGCCATGGGCTGTTTCTCCCCTGGGACGCCCCTCTGCCATGTCGCTCTGCCTTGGAGCCAGCCAACTATGAACTGAAACCTCTGCAGACTGTGAGCCAAGCCATCCTTCCCTCCTTTCATTTTGGGTGTCCAGTACATTGTCTCACCAGTGAGAAAAGTAATTAGGACACCAGACATTAGAGACAAACAGGAAAGAAATCATGTGACACCCTCACTCTCAAAATTCGTGTGCAGTTAAAACTCCCTAAACCCAAGGGCCATCATAATCCCTTATTATGTCATCTGCAATACGGGAATTGCTCTAAGAATTCAACGGCCACTCCCACATCAGACAGCCAGCAGCTGTTCATAAAAGTTGATTCCAGGGCCAGGGATTTAGCTCAATGGCATAAGCGCCTGCCTGGCAAGCACCTGCTTGTGAGTTTGATCCCTGGTACCAAAAAAAAAAAAAAAAAAAAAAAAAAAAAAAAAGGTGATTCCATTCCATATTCCCAGGAAGGAAAGGCAAACCTTATGATTCTAGTTCCATGTAGCAAGAAATTGTGCATTTCAAAAAAAAAAAAAAAAGAAATTGTGCATTTCAACATATATATAAAACTGCATTCTCATTTCACTCATAGATTCTATTAATCCCAGCTGCAGAGGAAAATGAAAGCCAGATGAGCAAAATAGTGCCCAGGGCTAAATCCAATCTATCTCTCTTGCTTATGCAAATAAAAGTTTAATTGGAACTCATCTACACTGGTTCACCCCTAAGGGTGCCTTCAGGGGACAGTGCCAGTGGACCAGCTCAGCAGCGATGGACTGTCCCTTGATGAGACAGGCTGCCAACCTTTGTGTCATTTCAGAAGTTGCACAGTACTTAGTGTTAATTGCTAAGCATATGCTTTTACAATTATTGCATGATATAAATGCACAGTTGAAGGATATACAATTTTAACTAGCAAGAACCTTCTACTCAGTGCAAGCAGGAAGCACAGTACATAAAGCAACAGACCTGCATGAGCAGGCCCACGATTCCAGTTTCCGTGTCTTACATCACTTACCTTTACAGGAATTTTCTTGTCAAAGTCAGGAAAGTGAATGATTTTATTTAGCTTGGCTACATACAGGATCATGATGGTGGCTGCCATCTAAAGAAAAAGAAAAGAAACTACAGCAAAACATCCAGAAAGATTGTTTGAGGCACAATGACATCACCAGATGAAAAGAGATTCATCAAAAAGAAAGAAAGCCAAGCAAAAATTTTTTTCATGTTCCAGGAAAAATAGATAAATAGGGGGCTGGGGATTTAGCTCAGCGGCATAAGCACCTGCCTTGCAAGCAGGCGGTCATGAGTTGGATCCCTGGTACCGATAAAAAGAGAGGGAAAAAAAAGATAAATAGATAAATGAGGACAGCATGTGGGAATTGCTCGCCTCGCCACTGTAGGATTCCGTCAGGACTACAGGCAAAATGTGTAACATTGGGGCTGGGGATTTAGCTCAGCAGCATAAGTGCCTGCCTTGCAAGCAGGCAGTCGTGAGTTCGATCCCTGGTACCGGTAAAAAACGAAAAAGACAGAAAAAGACAAAAAATGTGTAACATCAAATAGACGGGCACGCATGCCTTGTCTTGGACTCTAAACCAGGGATTGGGACATGAGGGATCGGTATCCCCAAGAGTGACCACACATCTGGGAGGCCACACACTGACCTTGGACCCCGAGTGCCACATGCCCAGCGTGAGTCACCAGCCCCAAGAAGGGCCGAGGGGAGGGCCAGTCTTACACAGGAAACTCTGCACCAAACACATTTTTTTTTTAAGTCCAATATTTGGGCTGGGGATGTAGTTCAGTAGCAGAGTGCTTACCTAGCTCACGGAAGGTCCTGGCTTTCACCACAGCACTGCCACAAAACCAAAACTCTAGTATTTCCGTAACACAGAGAACAAGGTAAGAGGGCAAAGAAAGAGGGAATTTTTTCCATGGGATTCACATTTCTATTCAGTCTAGTACAATAAAAATGTCTCATTTAACTTTCTGTGGGTCTGGACTAAGCATGGTGGTACACACCTGTGATCGCAGCACTTGGAGGAGGGACAAGAACACTGCCATAAACTGGAGCCCAGCCCGGTTATAATTCTAAATCTTAATGAGTTTACCAATATTTATGTAGTGAGTTCAAGGCCAGCCTGAACTATCTAGCAAGACCTTGTCTCAGAAAACAGACAAATACTCTACACTAAGTATATTGAAAATACCCTGTATTATTATTTTGGAATAAACTCAATGTTCATCTTCTTATGTAACTTTTACAGCATATTTAATTTTCTTCATATTAGGATGCAAGGGCTGGGGATTTAGCCTAGCAGTTCAAGTGCTTGCTTGGAAAGCGCAAGGTCGTGAGTTCGATCCCTGTTACCAAAAAAAAAAAAAAAAAAAAAAAAAAAAATACTACAATGCAAAATTTTAAAAGCTACTTCAATGTGATTATAATTCTAAATCTTGATTTTACCATGAATTTACAGATATTTATGACAGGTTTATATTACTCGGGTCCATTCTAAATTAGAATTGGACTTCGGATTTTTGTCTCACTTTACATTTCTTGAAGAAATATACTAGCACTTAATTAAAATGTTTAATTAAGACTTTTAAATTGAGTCTCATGAGTCTCTTTCCTTACCCAGTTGCAGATCAGAAAGGCTTATAATTAAATGAATAGAAGCCAGAGGGTTACAAAATAAAATTTATTGGATTTGGGGATTCCTGAGGGTACATTCAAGTATTTTTCTATGTGTTTCTACATTAAAACATAAAGATATGTTTTTTGAATATGACATAATGTTTTCTTGTTAAGATTTTTCTCCTAGGGGCTGGGGCTGGGGATTTAGCTCAGCGGCATAAGCGCCTGCCTTGCAAGCAGGCAGTCGTGAGTTCAATTCCTGGTACCGATAAAAAAAAAAAACAGAAAAAAGATTTTTCTCCTAAAATAATTTGCAAAGACGTACTGATCAGCAAAACATCAAACCAGGATAATGTTTACTCATATATATGACTTATCCAGATACACAATTTAAAATTTAGCAAACAATTATACCTTGTATAATTTTAAGATTTTCTCCCTATAATCAAAGCAAATTCAAAAGCAATAACCACAAAAAAATCTTTGATGATAACTGTCGGCCTACTAGAAATCACTAACGTGTGACCAAAACAATAAACAAGCCACAAATTAACTTTAATGGGAAATTTCAGAAAGCCAAATGGCTTTAATTCAAAAGTTGACCCAAACTCACTCTTGTACTCACGAGCAAAAATTACAAACATGTTTTGCGAACATGTTTTGTTTGTCCCACAAAGATTTATAAAAATGTGAATCAGTGGTCAGCATTTAAGAATTTGGAGATTTGATGTAGAAATTCAAATTTCCTTTCTGTCAAGAATCTGAGAGGAGGAGGTTGCACTAAGGGAAAAGTGGGTCACACCTCATGGCTCAGCAGCACAGTGGCTTACCCCAGGTATCACCTCCACACTTCCTTGGGACCCGAATTCTCCCGCTCCCCTACTCTCAAGCCACTCATTTGTTACCTGCCAGCTTGGAGGCTTAGAATCTTTTGGATTAAAGGCATTAAAGTAATTGCACTCAGTTATATATAAACTGAAAATAAGCAGTTGTTTTTCCCACAAGAACAATTATTCTCAACCTATAGAATGAAATAAAATGTGTACCAAGGTTTCATGTTGCATTACCAGGAAAATGTGATCATCTGGCCCTTTGCCAGCTGAGTATCTCTGTAAGCCACCGTCTTCAACAAAAGCACTTAAACTGTAATTACGCACACGGAAGCTGTATTTTTTTTTTCACTTACCTGTCCAATTCCGAGAACAATCGGTGAAGGGAAGCTATAAAGAACACAGAATAACAAGTTAATTTAGCAACATATAAAAAATTGAAGACAGTATATAAAACATAATGACAGGAGCTACTAAAAATTCCTAGACAATGAAAACACTAGCAAATTCATTCACTTTTTATTTGTTCATATCTTTTTTATTGTTTAAAACTGATCACTGATTGTTAAACTTGGCAATATCTTTTGTCCTTTGTGGGTAAAACAGACAAAGAATTGTGTATAGAGAAAAAACAAAGAATCTGTTGATAAGTTATTAATGTTAATAATATAACTTTAGAAAGGACACTAAATACAAGAAGAGCTCTATAGAGAAACTATAATTTGGTATTAAAAAAATTGAAGAAGACCTCAATATAGGTTAGAAATTCAATGTTCTAATGAGATCTATTATCCTGAAACTAATTTATAGAATGAAAGAAATCTCAGTATGAATACAAACAAGCTAATCCTAACATTGAATAGAAAGGTAAAAGCCACCAAAACTAATCTTGCAAAACAATAAAGTTGGAGGAATGCCTCTAGCAGACATCAAGACAGCTACAATAAATGAGACCACATGGCAGGTGCACAGTGACAGTCCAATAGGACCAGGGGATGGAAAAGAGACGGGACAGATGCACGGACACGACATCAATGTACAACATGACACCAATGTACAACATCAATGATAAACACGACCCTGAGCGCAGTGAACAAGCTGCAGAGAACCTTGAATTCAGAGCCTGATCCCTACCTCACACCACACGGAAAGGGACAGCCATCACCTCACGCCATTCATCCACGCTCAGGCCTTCTTGGCTCCCACTCATTCTCTGGGGCTGCTAAAATATTAAAATATCACCAACATTGGTACATTAAAGGGGAAACATATCTACCTCAGCAAGGGTAGATAAAGAACAAACCAGAGAAAACAGACTGAAGGGCTGAACAGTTCCACCATGAGAATAAACGACCTGCAGCCGGGAGTGGCGGTATATGCCTCTACTCCCATAATCTCAGCACTTGGAGGCTGAGGCAGGAGAATTGTTGTGGGTTGATGACCAGTTTGGGTCATATGGTGAGCTCAAGTCAACCTAAACTACAAAGCAAGACCCTGTTTCAAAAAACAAAAACAAAAAAACAACTCTAGGGTACGTAGCTTGGGGCCCACTGTATCCCCCTTTCCGGGCATTCATTCCGCAGATGAGTCAGAAAGTGTCCTGACCCCAGCCCCAGCCCCAACCCCAAAGCAGCCTGGACACCCCAGGGCTGAGGATAAACTGCAGGGTCTGCATCCAGCTTGGTCCAAGCCCACCTTCCCCCATCCTGCCTGCCCAGGAGCATTCTCCAGTGCCCTCCTAAGGCATCTTGGGAGAGTACGGTCTCCGACAGAGGACAAAAATAACACAGCAAACAAACAGTAGGAGCAAACAGTAGGACAGTAACAACAAAAGCAGAGAGCAGCGGACAAGAAAGGCTTCCTAATCACAAGTCAAAGGTCTCGGAAAGAATGCACTCAGGTCTCAGAAAACTGCTCGAAACAACATAACTGCCACATAAATAAATACCTCCAGTGGCAGTAGACACTAAACAGCCACAGCAGAAAGCCAAGTGGCCCCAGCCAAGGTAATCCCCAGGGGGATCACAGACTGAAAAACAAGTGCACATGGAAGACAGACTGACAGCACCACAGAAGGCTAATTCCCGAGTTTGACATAAAGAACACAATAGAATGAGTCAAACATAAAAGCCAAATTCTGCCGGGCATGTGGCACGCACCTATAATCCCAGCACTCAGGAGGCTGAGGCAGGAGGATCGCTGTGCATTAGCGGGCAGTCTGTGCTACATAGTGAGTTTAAGGCCAGCCTGATCTACATGTCTAGGGCCTGTCTCAAAAAATGAATACATAAATAAATAAGCAAATTCTTCTTCATGACAAAGGGGAAAACAACTGAATCTTCAGATATAAAGCACACAGTTTAGATTAAAACCTATTAAAGAACTCAACAAGAGTAACAACAGAACCCCCTACACACAGTCACACAGAGATACACACTGCAGAGAGGAGGGTCACTGCAGAGAGGAAGGAAGGAAGGAAGGAAGGAAGGAAGGAAGGAAGGAAGGAAGGAGCGAGCGAGCTCTGGCCCTCATGAAACTCCAAGCCCAGTCAAGCAGGGCTGGGTTCAACTCCAGCAGCTAAAGCCACGGCCAGGTGGGCGGGCAGGGGGCAGGACCAGGAAGGACCCAACAGGCATTGTTCCCAAGGTCTATCAAAACTAAAACATGGGCATAAAATAAAGCTAATGGCTGTAACTTCTTAATGTCCTCACAACCTTTTACCCTGAAAAAGCCATTTTAGAAACAACGAGCCCTTGTGGGGAAGAAGAATACAGTTGCCCTCCACATACCAGTTCCCTCAGATCAAATCCTCCAGCAGGAAAAAGGTCGCATCCGTGATGAAGTGATGAACCGCGCAGCCCTCCCCCTTCCCTCCCCCTCCCCTCCTCCTCCCTGAGCAGCATCAGATAATGGCTATTTCACGCAGTATTTACATCACATCACGGGTGGTGAGCAATTTAGCGATTCTCGGAAGAGGGTGTGAGAGGCACAGGGACGGGGTGACATCAGGGGACCTGGGATCCATCCCCTACTCGGACCCAGGATGGTTACATTGACCTAGTGCAGCTCAGGTCCCTGACCGGATGTCACAGGCAGTCCTCTTACCCAAAGTGTGAGAACCCAGTGGACTCTTTCGACTTTCGACTAAACTGTGAGTCCAAGAACAGAAAAAAATAAATGAAAATATAAACCATCTATCATATTGTTCAGGCAGCTGAGTTAGTTAGAAATATTATAGGCAGTGAGACAGGGCTGGGCCCTCAAAGGAGCCAGTGCAGATACCTTACAACTGTGGGGGAGACAGACACCTCCTGCTGTGGGCCAGGCCTCAAGTCAAAGGATCAAACAAATGCATCCACATCCTAAAGATTGATATTCTAATTAGTTCCCTATCACCCTGGAGTCACTATCTCATCCCTCCAGGAGAAAGGTCACAGCTCCAAGAATGCCCGCTTCCTACGTGACTCACTTTCCCCTTTGTCCCTAATGTAATCAATTTTACCTGAACTATTGATCTTATTTGGCTAACTATAGTTATGGCCCACCTTATGCCCAGCTGCCTCATGAGTTCCCAGTTTTTCCCCACCTAGAAACCATCTCGCCCCATGAGTTTGCTCTATAAACGTCCCTGGGAAAGACAGATGCTTAGGCAATCCGCTGGGGACCCCTTCTGTCTCTCTCAGACGCAGGCTTTCTTTCTCTCAATAAATATATTCAACTCTTAACCTCCGCTATTCCTAAAATTCATTCTTCAATTTTAGAGAACACAAACTCATATCAGACATAGTAGGGGGAGTTTCAGTCCCTTATATCAGGAGGACCTGAATGATACATAACAGACTGGGTCATGGCTTTTCTTTACATTTCTTTTCTCTTCTCTCTTTTTTTTTTTTTTTTTTTTTTTTTTTGGTACCAGGAATCAAACTTGCGACCTCACGCTTATGTCACTGAGCTAAATCCCCTTTTCGTGGACCAGGGATCCAACTCATGACCTTGCACTTGCCAGGCAGATGCTGTGCCACTGAGGTAAATCTCTGGCCCATGGCTATACATATAACCACCCAAATGAGGAGCAGGGGGAGGAAGGACTTCCCTTGATTAAAACAATTTAGAAATTCATAACTGTGCATTGTGCATTGTCTGAGCCTCTATTTGATCTGGATTCAGGTGTTTTAAAAAGCACTAAAGCATCTTGGGGGACATTACAGATTAGGGATTTACTTATTTATTTATTTGTTTATCGTTATTTTTTTGGTCTTTTTTGAGACAGGGTCTCGCTAGGCAGTTCAGGCTGCCTGGAGCTCACTTTGTTACCCAGGCTGCAATAATCCTCCTGCCAAGTGCTGGGATTACAGGCATGCACCTCCACTCCTGGGTTTACATAATATATCTTGTTTCTTTCCCCCTCCCTATCACTTTGTCACAGCAACAGAGTTAATACAAGACTTTGTAAAGAATATCAACCACAGGCTCGAGGGTACAGTGCAGGGACCCGCACTCAGCGTGCATGCACAGCAAGTGCAAAGCCCTGGGTTCAAACTGTGGCATCACAACAAAAACACGGGAGCACCACAAGGTATCCCAAGCCCATGCCATCCCTCTACAGCTGCTGGACCACTGACCCAGTCCAGGCTGGGCCCCTCTCCCTGATACAGCGCAATCCCATTGGCTCGCTGCCCACGAGCCAGCCAGAGAAATCCTTGTAGGCACAGAAATCAGGTCCTCTCATTCCCAGGCTAATAGCTTCACAGGGCTCCCACCCAAGGTGATTAACACTGCTGGTCACACTCTCCCTGCCTCCTCCTGCCCAGGACCTGCTCTCCACACAGCAGCCAGTGCCAGCGGTCACCCTCTGGGGGACACCACACATGCAGGCCCCACACCCACCAGAGGCCTGGTCCAGGGCCTGCCGCACTCTCCCTGGCACTCATCGTGAAGGTCCACTTGTCCCCTCCCTGCCCAAAGCCTTCACTCTGCCATGCTGCAAAGTCGTCTCCTGGTTCTGGGCAGAAGGTCACCTCCAGATCACTGCTGGGTCAATGGCCTACCTAACAAAGCCTCCATGAACCGGCAGTGAGGAGGACCCCGGCCAGCTGACCCTGTGGCTCACCTACCCACCTGCCCATCCCTTCGCTGCTGTGTGCATCTGTGTCCGTGGCAGCAGCATCCTTCACAATAAAGACAGAGGGCTCAGCTGGCATGCTGCCCCCAGCTCCAGGTAACAGGAGCCACCCCAGGAGGCCGGAGGATCACAGGTTATCAGGCCTAGCCTGGGGGGACCTAGTGAGACTATGCCTCAAAAAGGCAAAAAAGGAAGGTTCTAAGCAGTAAAATTTCCCCAATAAGGTGGCCAAATCTGAAACCTTTGTTTCAAAAAGGCCAACAGGACTGGGCATGCAGCATGGCGGTAGAACATCTGCCTCGCATACAGGAGGCCCTGGGTTCAATCCCTGGGGCCACCGAAAAGGCGGGGTGAGGCTTGGCTTCGGTGACTGTGTTACTCAGAGCTATGCACCCTCTCTGTGCTCCCTTCCTCCTCTACAACCTGGTCACCTCCTGTAAACAGCCGGTAACGCAGATGGAGGCAAAAGAATTGCAAACTTAAGCCCAGCCCGGACAACTTAAGAGACAGCCTGTCTCGAAATAAAACGATTATAAAAGTACTCAAGTACTGGATGTGTGGCTCGGAATCGAGGTGCAGGGTTCAGTCCCCTCAGCTGCCCTGGTTTGTCTGCTCGCACCTCACTCCCCTGAAACTCCACCCGCCCACCTCGGGTTCTGCAGCTCACAGCTGCCTTCTTGGTGCACAGTAAATATCTGTGGGTCTGTTTTGTCGAATGTGAAACGAGGCTGCAGACTTGGCTCTCGGGGCTCCGGGGTAAGGGTCTGCCTCGGAAGACCGTCTTGCAGCGCTGGGGTTCCCAGAGGCCTCACACAAAGGCTCGCAGTCACCCCGGTTCGCGTCTGAGGAAATTGCTGACTGACTACCTGACCGACCTGTCCTGAGAGCAGAGCTGGTGAGTGCCGGGGCTGGGTTTAAACCTCGTTCTTTCCAAACTGCCGGGGACACCAGCAGCATTAAACAGGATTTTCTGGTTCTTACAAAGAGATTGAAGGAAGCAGGTTTACTGCTCACTAATCCCCAAGCAGCCGGCATCACCAAGGGAAGAAAGGGCTGAGAAAAGGAGGTTCGAGTCTGCACCACCTCCCGCAGGGCTGCGATCACGATGCCTGCGAACGTGCACTAATAGAAAATACAAACGGAGTGAAAACCCGGCACCAGGAGCTTGCGATTGTTTTCCCCGCACAGGCCGGTCACGCGGGAGGCCTGGGCAGCGACGCTGGGGCTGACCTCAGGGTGCAGCCCGGAGCCCCGAATCGAGCGTCGCCGGTTTGCAGTCCACCGTGGACGGACCGGAGCGTGCGGGCAGCGGCCGTGCCCGCCCGGCCCGCCCGCCCGCACCGCCCGCCCCGCCTCACCCGTAGGCGGTCAGCAGCGTCTTGTTGAGCAGCACCAGCAGCAGCGAGCAGGCGCCGTAGAGCAGCGCGGACAGCAGCCGGGCGGCGCGGGAGGGCTCGGCGGCCGTGGCCGTCATGCTCGGGTCCGCTCGGCCGGCCCAGCCCGGCCCGGCCCGGCCGGCGGGAAAGGGCGCGGCAGGAACAGGAAGGGCCGCCCGCGAGCCGGGCCCGCCCTCCGCTTCACCCGGCCCGGCCCAGAGCTGCCCACCTGCACGCAGCCGTCGGTTTGGTTCCACGCTGGAACGTGCGCTTCGCATCCGATGAATGCTATCGGACCCGCACGCTGTCGGCGGGGTGTTTCGGTTTTGGAATCGGTCTTGAACTCACGGCCTTGCACTTGCCAGGCAGGCGCTTGCACCGCTAAGTCCCCAGCCCTCTGGTTCGGTTTTGTTTCGAGACAGGGCCTCTGTAAATTGCCCAGGCTAGGAATATACTTGGCAGTTCTCCCGCTTCAGCCTCCCAGACTGCCGGGACGACAGGGGAGCGTGTGTCCACCCCACCCTAGCAGCTGATAAATCTGTAGTCCTGGAAATCACAGCACAGGTGCGTCCACCACCGCCCGAGTCCCCTGGCCTCCGCTTTTAAGTTAATTCTCCCATCTCCTTGCCTTTTTTTGTAGATTTGCCTTTTTGGAACTTAATGGGAATGGGAAACGGCTCTTGAAACCCCTGCCACTGGTTCACCCTGCCACTTAGCACTGTTGTTCTGTTGTGGGGTGGCACGTTGGTTGTTTCTAGTGAGGCCTAAACTAGAAAACCTAGCCAAACATGCTTGGAGACATGCGCAGTTGGACTTCTTTGCTCTTTGATAAGCACCTAGGATTAAGCCTCTAGGCTTCTGGGGTCTCTGGGTGCTGGATGGCAGGTTCTGGCCTCACCCAAGGGCACATTTCTTCCTCCCCCAAAGGCACAATTCACATCTGCTGCTCTGGTTCAAGGGAAACCTCCCGGGGCTGACTGCTAGCTGCTTTTAACAAGTGTTCTATACTTTCATTCTAAATAGCGAACTTTAAACAATCTGAAATGTTCCACTTATAACTATTGTGGGGGTAAGAAGGTACTTAAAGGGGAAAAGCAACTGGGATGGGGAAAAGGAAGATACATTTGTATGTATATACATAGGGTAGCTAAGATGACAAACCTATTAGTTCTTGGAAAAGAACAGTTAGTACTCATGATTAGATCAGTTTTGCATGTCTATGTCTGGTCATCTAAGCAACCCTTTTGAAGGTAATATGCAATATTACAACCATTGTCAAATTCCTATCACCTTGTTTTGAAAACCTATACTGTTACCGCGTTTGTTGTTGTCTCTTTTGCTTTTTGTCTTTTTTCCTCTTAAATAAAAATCTGAAATTTTACCTTTTTAGAAATGTGAGATGTTTCCAGTGGGAGTCGAAGTGTAACTGAAGAGGCCAGGTTAACTGTTTTGGCCATGGTTAAGAAACTAAAACAGGGCTTTTGAAGAGGGCCTGAATTCCCCAAAATAAGAAAGAACAGATACATAGGTCTGTTTTAAAATAGAAAAAGAATTCATATTCTAACGGAACCCAAAAAGTCTGAACGTCATTTTCATTTCCTCCAAAAGCTGTTGTTCTCGATCACTTTGATTACAAAACTACAGGAGTCTAGAGCCACTTAAAATCAGTGGATCTTTATCCAGTGCAAATCACAACTCACACTTGAGTTCTCTGTTTTTCTGAAAAGTCCAGACAGAATGACCTTTGTCACTCTAAGTGCTCAATTAAAGATGTTCCAAAAACTTACTGATGCAAAAAACCAACTAGCTAATCCCAGCACAAGAGGCTGAAGCAGGAGGACTGCTAAGAGTTCCAGCAATCTGTGTAGCTGGCTTGGGCTACAAAGTGAATTCAAGGCCAGCCGGAAAAGCAGAGTGAAGCCATCTCAAAGATACCCTCCCTCCAAAAAGAAAACAACTTGCCAGACTCCTAACAAAGGTGACCCAGACTCAATCCATCTTATCCATAAAAGTCACCAAAATAATGTTGATCCAAGCATGAAGGGCTGAGCATCATGTCATGTCTGCCTTTTAAAGTTTTTATATCATGGTCACATTGATAGAAAAATAAACTGTAAAACTTCCAAGAATGACTATATATTTTAAACTTTAAATTAAAATAAATTTTTATTCAAAGCATCTTTTAAAATTACAGCATGTTTATTCTATGCTGTTAACTCTGCCAAACTACAACTTAGCTGTATGAAGCATAAAACACTTCAAAAATTTGAATGTAAACCACATTTTTAAAACAAAAAGCAGTCTTAACACACCTCAAATTTTAGACACCAATATATTTTGTCCAAGTATATAGCTTATATCAAAAGAGAACTTTTAAAATGTTTCTAAAGAATTGTAATAATTTCTTAAACTGTTCCAATTATACAAATAAAAATATTTGTGATTATAACTATTATGGTTTACAAAAGCTCGTTGAAAAAACAATCAAAAATCCTTGTTTTTTAAAGGCCTTAGACTTTTTTTATTATCTGTGAACTGACAAATACTTGTACTTTTATTGCCCTTCCTTCTTTAGGTGAGTTTATCAGATTTGACATTTCCCAAGACTGACCACATGTTGCTTTTCAATTCATATAAATTATGGTTGAGAAGCAAAATTTGAGTCAATGTTGCAACCTAAACCAGGAAAATTCAGATGCTATGGTCTGTTACCACGCTTATAAGTGCTCCAAGTTAAAAGTCTATATACCAAATTACAAACAGAACTCTTAGACCATTACAAATATAAATTCTCTTATTACAAAAATTCCCTAAAGATCTGCCACTTACTGTACAGAGGAATTATATTTTAAAGTATGTCCTCATCATACACATCATTTGTAACTGCCATGTCTTCCTTCACTCTTTATGCTCCTCTTCAGAACATCTACATGGCGCCCTCCCCACGCCCGCATGTGAAACTACCTGTGTACTGCCACTCTTCAGGACTTTGGGATATGAAGCCTACATTTCAGGGAAGATAAGCCACACTTGGAGGGTCCCACTGCAACTCAAAGGAAGAAAGGAGCTGCCGAGCCTGTCTTTCCCTCTAGATTGTGGAGGTCTACTCCAGCTAAGCAGTCTATAAATTACCATGCTATGCATGCCGTTTCATTTCATTCCGTCTACAACGAAAGCTCACATGATAGAGGTTTTTGCTTAATCAAAAGGAGGCGGCCTGCTCCGTTTTGGACATTTCGGTCCTGCTTCAGTATATAAAGTGGTGTTTATCAGCTTCATCTATTTGGGGAAAAAATGGTTTTGAACCACCACACGAGTTAATACACTTGCAGTTTAAACTATTCCAAAAATCTACCTATTTGAGTAGCTATTGTTTTCTGCAGTGTTTAACTGATAGCTAGATTTAGTGAACGCAAAATAGCTCGGCATGTTATTCTGAAGTAAAGCAGAAGGTGGCTTTATGCACTGGAAATATAAATATGGAGGCTTCCATTTGCTAATAATTCTAAATAAGCAGTACAATTAAAATTTAGTGTTTGCTAACAGAAGAGCTAAAACATTTCACTACAAAACAACCCTGTAGATGTCCCTTTTATTAATAAAAATCCAAGTGCCAAATCTCATTACAGGGCCCATCATATACATAAAAAAAAAAAACACCAGTTCCCAAGTTACCTAGACTTTGCAAGATTAATCACTCAATTTTCAGCAAATGAGAAATGTGAAATGTGCAAAAGTTCCCATTAACATGTGAGGGGTGGCAAGTGCTTTTCAAACTTAAAACATTATAGTGGGGTAGAATAAGACTGACTTTACTCCAATTTTCAAACTTCTGAACTATTGTGTATCTTACCAAGATCCACAAATACCGATTTTCTTCCAAGACCTTAACTTGGAACATCTTCCCAAATAGCTTCCCATTTCTCTAGCCTTATTGGGCAATTTAAAAATATATATCTTAAAAACTATAGTTCCTTGCCTGCCTCAGTGTTTACAGTATTGTTAAAACATACTAATATACATTGTTAAAAATGATCTCATAAATAATCCATTTCAACCTTCTTTGGCTCTCTGTACCATTTTCTGCTCTTTCACTCAAGCGTCTTATTCAGAAAGTGCTTCCTGTGAGAACTGCTTCCAATGAGTGCATTAAACTTGCAAAATCTAGCTTCCCACAATATGTAGTTTTCCACCCTGTATGATACAGTCTGTATTTACAAAATAATTTTAAACTTTACATGTAATCTATTTCCATATAAAAAAGTGCAATTCTCTCTCACCCCAGCTTCTGGGGTGATGACATTCTTCATAAATTCTACAGAATAGCAGCCTAGGATAAGCAAGTAAGGTGCTGAGCTTCTGGGTGGCGGCGGCTAGGGGCGCAGCGGTGCGCCGGCCAGGTTGGCCAGCTCAATGAGCGCCAGCGCCCCGTGCAGCCGCTCGCGCTGCTCCTGCAGCCGCTGCTGGGCGACGCTCTTCTCGTCGTCCTCGCCGTCCGACTGTAGGCACTCGAGCGGGTCGCGCTGCTCCTGGTCCGCCTTGGGCGCCAGCTTGCCCTTCAGGCTCGGGGCGCGCTGCTCGCGCATCTCCCAGTACCTGTGCGGAAGGTGAGCGCGATTAAAAACCTTCCTTAAAAGCCAAAGCTCTTCTTTTGGAAGAATATTGCTTTTTGGGGTTTCAGGTCATGAAGGGCTGCAGATTCATTCACAGAGCTTCTGTGAATGTCACTGACAGAGGTAAAACCTGAAGGGTGAGGAAGTGAAGACTCCTGCTGCAGCCTGGGTGACCCCACCAGGGCAGATAGCCTAACTCTCCTGCCCTTCCTTCATGAGCCAGCAGCCACCAGCTGGGACAGCACTGAGGACAGCCCCTCCCTGCAGCTGCGAGGCCCTGACTTCCATGGCCAGCCCCGGGAAAACAAATGCACTGCATACAAGGGCTAAATCAAATACTCGTAAAGAAAAATTTTATACTGGTTCCCTCATCATTAGAAAAAATTAAATTGGCTGCTTTTTGGAAAAAAGCACGAGAAAAGCCTCTGCCTTCTGTCACTGCTACCACCAGCACTCAGCTAACTCTAAGGTGGGAAAATGAAGAGCTGGCCCCACTGCAGAAATCTACTGTGCATAATAACCACTTTCTAACTGGGAAACCAAGCTGGGCGTGGTGGCACACACCTGTAATCCCAGCACTTTCGAGGCTGAGGCAGGAGGATCGCCACAAGTCCCGGGGCAACCTGACCTGCATAGCAAGACCCTGTCTCAACACCCCCACCTTCCTGCGCAAAAAGAAAGGGCAAACATTTCCTTTAAAATAAATTGTGGGGTCGCCTCAGCAGCGCCATTTAAAACTGTAAGAATAGAAATAGCCTGCCCAAGGATGACAAGCAAAGTTACAAAGTGCTCCATATTTCTAAACAGTGAAAAAAATACACGAGGGCCGAGGGTACAGCTCTGCAGCACAGCATCTTCCAGCAAGCCAAGGTCATGACTTCAATCCCCGGCTCAAAAAACCAAAATAAAAATAAGAATAAATGAAACTGTGGTTGGGGCCCACAACCTAATTACACTGTAGATTTCTATCACGCATGGATCCTGATACCACTCGGACCAGTTCTGTGAATAAACAACCACCCAGACTTACTTAATAAATGTGCAAAAGCAACTGATTTAAAAGGAGAGCGCCTAATCCAAACCCCGGCCCCCCCCTCCCCTCCCCACCCCCTGGCCCGCATGCGACCTTACTTTGCCAGCCACTCGGCGGCAGCCTTGTTGTCCGCGGCCTGGCGCTTGCTGAGTGCATCCGTGGGCTCCTCTCGCCTCAGCCTGGCATAAGGATGCTTGGGACAGTGGCGGTTGGCATGTGTGAATCTGCTCAGGCAGCCTTTGAACAGAGAGAGAGAAACGCTGGCTAGGAGGCAGACAGCCGGCAGGTACACTGAAACATCCAGCCATCCAACCGTCCAGCCTCACCGGGGACCAGGACAGGCACACGGGGGAGAGCAGCGTTCTGGAACCAGGCCGCCTCTGCACCAGTGAGGGCCAGGGGACAGCGTTCAGGCACTGCCACCTCCACCAGGGACACACAAGGCCCACACAGGCACTGCCACCTCCACCAGGGACACACAAGGCCCACACAGCTCCGGTTCTGGAGATTACCGGGAGAAAACGACCCCAAAACAGACAGAGCTGTAAGTGTGAGAACATGCCCCGTGCTGGTACCAAGCCAGTTTATATAGCAAACATTCAGTATTTAACAGTGAAGTCATGATTGTATGTCTGCTTAAGCAAATTCAACTAGATGAAACACTTTTGGAACATCTGTAACAGTTAATCAAGAATCCAAAGGAAAAGGACAGAAATGTATTGAATTTCAAATGTAACTACTTAAAAAAATCTTTAGAAACTGATAAAAGGTCACCTAAGAAAAGATCACCATCATGCCAAGCACCATAAGTGAGACATGGAAGCTTAAAGACCACATTGTTTTTCTTTTCTTTCTTTGTCTTTTTGAGACAAGGTCTTGCTGTGCAGTTCAGGCTGGCCTTGGGCTCACTTTGTAGCCCAGACTGGTCTCGAACTCCAACGATCCTCCTGCCTCAGCCTCCCAAGTGCTGGGATTACAGGCGTGAGCCACCACGCCCGGCTTACATGGTTTTTCATTTATGAAAAACGCAAAGTATAAATACAAAATTAAAGCCACAGAAAAATATAAATGAGAGGAAACAGGGAGATACATCTTTTGCAAATGGGAAGGGACCAGGAGGTGTAGGAGAGGGGAGAAGGGAAAAAGGGTTAAAGTGGGCTGGGGGTATGGCTCAGTGGTACAGCTCCTCCCTGGCAAGCACAAGGTCCTGAGTTCAATCCCGGTACCACTCCCAAATTAAGATGTGCCAACTTCTTATGGTGAATATAAGCACAATTTACTGAAAACCAGAACTAATAAAAATTATAGGAATAAAAGAATTTAAAAGATAAAGATCACATGCTTACTTCACTGTAATAGTTAAAAAATTTAAAACCAATACAAAGGTCTACTCTGAAGGCTTCATTAACTTTTACAGATTTTTCCACTCCCTACGACTGAATATAGTATTTTTAATTGCTTTTTGAGGTTTCCATCTAAAGAGAACACTGTATTTGAAAATCACTTGCATAAAATTCAGCGTGGATCACAATTAGCAAGAAAGAAAACTTATGGTTTAGTATGTTTTCTATCAAAAATCTTTCCCCTCAAAAATTGCAAGTGAAATACACTTTCACTGTGTTAATTATTTTATCCCACAACTAAACCTCTACAGCCGTAAAATACACTTTCACTGTGTTAACTATTAGTTATCCAATAACTTAACCTCTACAGCCGTACCATTTTCGGAACAAACGAAAGGCTTCTCTCCGGTGTGCAGCCGCTGGTGCGTTTTGAGCTGCCCGCTCTGGACAAAGGCTTTCCCACAGTCGGGATAGTCACACAGGTAGGGCCGCTCACCTGCGGAAACACAGCTGCGTTAAGGGAGGGCTGGGGGGCAGCGAGACCCCTTCTGCAGGTCTCACTGCCCACAGGACACAGGCACAGTGACAGGGCAGATCGGCCAGGGCCATGCGGACTGCAAGGCCAGCACCAGCCCTTGGGGTCCACAGCATCTCATTCAGGTCTCGGGAGCTTAGGACCCAGGTGCAAGTCCTTGACATCTGCCCATTCAGACACTGCATTCCCCAAACGCTGAGCCACTGCCTTGGGCTGATTCTCTGTGCCACCTCCCACTCCTGCTTTCCCACGCCCGCAGAGAGGACCGTGCCAGCTGCCCCCGAAACTCTCCCAAATGCCAAACTCTTTTTGGTGCACACGTTTCCAGGTCCTTTACCCTGGACCACGTACCCTTTCTACTGTGTTTTGGAGACAGGGTCTCAACTCAGCTGCCCAGGTTAGGCTTAAACTTGCGATCCTCCCGCCTCAGCCTTCCAGAGTGCTGTGATTACAGAGGGGCGCCACCACACCCAACTTTGTAAAACGTGCTCTTTAACCCACAACCATACACTGGCTCTTCTGATGTGACACGAAGAACGGTAACAAGGTTTCATCAGCTAGTGACAGAGTTAAGTGGTCATAATAGGTGAATATAACTTAATGAAACACAGGATACAGGGACATTATTTCAAACAATAAGAGAAAGCATGCATCGTACAGCTTAACTGTCCTTCAAGATCTCAGGCTCAGCTCCCTGTATACAGGGCAGCAGACCAAGGTCCAGAGGGTCAGGGCCCCACACCGCAGATTGGGCAGAGTCGTGAATCGCTAAGTCCTGAATCACCCCACAACGTCAGGGAGTGCTCCGTGACCCATGAATTCTACATAAGGAAACTAGATCCTAACATTTTAAAATACATCTCTTCAAAACCAAAAGAAAAAAATTATGAAACAAGTGATGAGCACAGTGGGAAAAAATGGCTTTAACACTGAAACCCTAGACTGGTACCAGCCAGCAGGAATAGATCTCGAACCATGCGGAAGCCACATCAGAAGAGGAAAAACAGAACCACGTGGAACTGGCTTCATGCTTTTAACCCAGTGCATCCAAAGCCGTGCCAAGCGGTACAGGCCAAGTATGACCTCCACTGTCATGAGGGAAGTGTACCTCCCACTTCCTAAGCATCCGTTCAGACTCCTCTCATTTCTCGCCCCTGTGCTGGTAACTCAGGGTTCGGCTGACCGCAGGCCCATGGGCAGTCGTGAATTATCAGGTGAAGCACCAGGTGCCTCTCTCTGGGATCATTTACAGAAGGACAAGTCCCTCTCTAAGTCAGTTTCCGCTCCCACATGGTATTTAACACACAAGCATAGTTTCTGTACACAAGAGGTACGATCACCTTGGAATCGTTGCTTACAATACGTATAATTCTGAAAAATCACAGTTCACAGTAGACGGACGCAATGGTTAGGCCCAGCACTCACTCTGAGGGCAGGCTGGGTCCTCAAAAATTCTCTCCAAAAATGTGACCATTACAGTCTTGGTAGCTGAACTACAAATGAACTTTAACCATCACACACACAAATTAAGAGCAGGTCAGAGAAATACCAGGAGAACTAAATTTAACTGCAACCCGAGGTTGACACTCAGGTTAGGCACCATGGTAACTCCAGGAGTCACTAGACCTGTATTAAAGCCACCACTCCTCACCCATGAGAAACTGACCACCTGGGGCCTGTTTTAAGGTCAGCCTTAGGAAAGCACAGGCCTGCGCCTCCCGGCTAGAGGCGCTGGCTTACCTGTGTGGGTCCTCTTGTGAGCCTGCAGCGACTTCTCCCGAGGAAACACACGGTTGCAGATGTTGCAGCGGATCCTGCTGGAGGAGTGCTCGCCCTCGCTGATCAGGTCCCGCACGGTGTCGGCTCGGGGGCGGCCTCGGCGGATCCCGTCCTGCCAACAAGCATCGTGTAAGCCTGAGGGTCACTGCTGAGCTCCACTGCTCAAGAGTTTACAGCGACCTCACAAAAGTCTTTCATGACTGACACTCGCAAAACTAGTGCGGCTCCCATAACTTATCCCTCCACTGCAAAATCCTGGAAGAACCATCAGAATCAGTGTCGACTGCAGAAAAGGAGAGACTGAAAGGAACCTGGCGGACTCGGAATGGAGAAGAGGCCAAGAGGCCCCAGCCTGCACCCTGGAGCTGCCCTTCCTGGCCGGTTCTGCACTCCGTGTGTGACCCTGGCCCTGCTTCCTCTCACAGGCACAGGGCAGACCTGATCCTAAGGAGTCACTTCCTGATCAATCAATCACGACTTCAGATGGTGCGTGTACACGCACTGGAATATTATTTAGCCGTGAAATGGACAGAAACCCTATCTGACAAAAGACTCCCTTTAGCTCAAAAACACAAACAGGTTGAAAATAAAAGGGCAGGGGCTGGGGATTTAGCTCAGCGGCATAAACACCTACCTTGCAAGTGTGTGGTCGTGAGTTCGATCCCCGGTACCAATAAAAAAGAAAAAGACAAAAAAAAAAAAAAAAAAGAAAATAAAAGGGCAGAAAAAGAAATAATTATAGGGCTGGGGACTTAGCTCAGTGGTGCAGAGTCTGCCTGGCAAGCGGGAGGTCCTGAGTTCGATTCCCAGATCCCTACACACACACACACACACACACACACACACACACACACACAAAAACAATTATAAACACATACATATCAAACAACAAAGCCTCTACATACATGAAGCCAAAAAAAGGGGCAGAATTAAAGACATGGTTCAAAATTAATTGATTTTAATATCCCATTTCCAATAATGCATAGGGCAACTAACCAGAAAATCTACAAAGAATCTCCAGGATAAACTATTAGGCCACAAAACACCCTCAATAAATTTTAAGACTGAAGCCTCAGACCAGGGGCTTAGCTCTGTGACTTAAGCACCTGCCTGGAAAGTGCAAGGTGGTGAAAAAAAAAAAACACCAAAGCCTCTAGCCGGGTGTGGGGATAAACCCTGTAATTCCAGCACTCAGGAGGCTGAGGCAGGAGAATCACTGTGAGTTTGAGGCCAGCCTGAACTACAAAACAAAACAAACAAAAAAAGTGGGGTCTGAGAGTTAAATAATTCTAGTCTATTCAAAGTATGAAAAGGTTGGGGAAAAACCCCAATAACATAAAAGAAATTTTTCACTCTGAATAAAGACAATTTTTTTCTGAGAAGACTAAATTTCTTATTTAGGACATCTGAATTACAGAAAGTTTCATCAATCTCAAGAAGACACAGAAAAAAAATTTTAAATGAAGATACAGAAAATAATCACAAAATTAGACTTTCATAAATCCTCATCTATCATAAGTTCTACATGGAGAGTCATTTTTTGTTTTTGAGACAGGGTCTCGCTATATAACTCAGGTTGCCTTTAACTCACTCTGTAGCACAGGCTGGGCTTGAACTCTCTGGGGTCCCCCTGCCTCAGCCTCCCGACTGCTAGGATGACAAGCATGGGCCACGATGCCCAGCTTTGGAGTCAAATCTTAGCTTTAAATCTTAGTTATATGGCAGAATGTAACACAGAACACGTGGTCCTATTAAACTAATGATTTAAGTTTTGTTGTTGCTGTTTTGTTTTGAGGGTTTTGTTGGTACTAGGGATTGAACTCAGGACCTTGCACTTTGCCAGGCAGGCGCTGTACTGCTAAGCTATATTCCGGGATCCCTATAAACTAATGATAATGATTTAATGTTACAGAAAAGATGGACCTTCACAACTAAAACATTGTTAAACTCCCCCAAAACAAATACAACTAGGAAAAGTTACTACTTTACGTAGTATCTACTTCAATAAAAATAACATACAATCAGTTCATTAATTTCAACAAATGTATCACAGTAACATAGCATGTCACAGCAGGAAACTGAGTTTCAAGTTCATGGGGATTCTCTCTGCTATATTTTATACATCTAAAACTGATTAACAGCTGGAAAACCAACTTCTTCTCAGTTAACTTTTGCCTGAAACCTCAAAGAATGTTACAGCAAAATAACCTTAATCAAAATTTTACTTTGAAATACTCAATCTCTACATTCTACTATAAATAATGTTTTTAAAATCTAGAGCTTAGGCTGGGGATATAGCTCAGTGGCACACCACCTGCCTGGCAAGCGTAAGGTCCTGAGGAGTCCCAGTATCAAAAATAAACTAACTAAATTTATTTATTTTTACTGTAAAAGTCAACGAAATTTCCAAATGTTAATGAAGTCTTTCCCTATTTTCATTTAGTCTTTAGGTGGAGAAGTATATTTTATAGTGACAATTTAAATTCTCATTGGCCCTAATTACTGATTTTTTTAAATGATTAAGACGGTGGAAAGATTACACAGCCAAGACTTGAAAATAAAACCATTAAGATATTTGTACACCCGTGTGCACTGCATTTTTCTTTACAACAGCCAAGAGATAGCGGCCAAATTAAATGTCCATGGCACATACACACACAGCCTTAAAAGCATCTTGAGTAAGTTACAACATGCATGAACCTGAAGGACATTACACTCGGTGAAATAAACTGACCACAGAAAGTCAAATATCGTTGTTTGCACCTTCTAAGACCCAAAAAGCAGAACGGTGGCTGCCAGCGGCTGGGAAGGAAACAAGATAACTTGCCCCTCTCACATCGGGTCCAGAGACACACATGGCCGGGTGACCTGCTCTGGCGAGCGAAGTGAGAGTGGTAATAACCTAAGTGCCCTCGGAGCAAACCCCAGAAAGTCACCACTGAGCTCAATCACCCGTCTCTCCTCTCTACCCGGGAACCACTGTCCCAGGTAGGAGACACTGCTTCTGGTCCCAGGACACGGCTGATGGAGCCTCACCAGGCATCTGGCATGAGCAGTGGGGAGGTGAGACTGAGGTTTTCTCTTTGTGTTTTGTCACTCTGAGATCTGAATTTAATCACTTCTCAAGCCTATGGCTAGGACCGAACCGTGAAGTTTGAACTGAAGTAGCTGTGCTATATATTTTTTCTTTTCCAAATCCATTTTATTTCAAAGAGAAAAAAAAGACAAACTAAAATTTCAAAACATGTCAATCATGGGGCAACAATGATACTCACTGTCATCCCCAAATCATTCACCCAGAGCACAAGACAGCTGCATTCAGTTGTCTGAATAATACCGGCACAAATCTTTCTCTTCAGTGAACTCAGAGAAATCAGTAATATAGCTATCTTAACTATTGTATATACATACATACACGTTTCTTTCAGCTCCTCACACTAATGAGACAATACAGTGTTTACACGTGTCTTATTTCACAAGTTGCATCCATTCACCTGTCTTCCACTTGTCCTTATTTATGGTTGAGTAATATTCCATTATATAAAAATATTACATCTTTTTTACCCACTCCTCAGTTCCATGGGCATTTAGGTTGTTTCCAAGATCTGACTATTACAAATTGTGCTGCTATAAACATGGGTGTATCGGGGCTGGGGATTTAGCTCAGCGGCATAAGCGCCTGCCTCGCAAGCAGGCAGTCGTGAGTTCGATCCCCGGTACCGATAAAAAGGAAAAAGACAAAAAAAAAAAAAAAAAAAAAAAAAAAAAACATGGGTGTATCTATACCACTGTGGTATGGGGTTTTCAATTCTTTTGGAAACATGCCCAGAAGGGGAATAGCTGGGTCTAATGAGACCTCTAGTTCTAGTTTTTTGAGGAATCTCCACACTGATTTCCACAGTGGTTGCACCAATCTATACTCCCACCACTAGTGGAGAAGAGTTCTTTTCCCCCCACAACCCCTCCAGCATTTATTATTGCTTGATTTCTTGATGGTAGCCATTCTTTCTGGGGTAAGGTGGAATCTCAGTATTGTTTTAATTTGCATCTCTCAAATGACCAGTGACGTTGAACATTTTTTTTCATATTTATTTGCTGTTTGTATTTCTTCATCTGAGAAGTGTGTATTCATCTCAGATGCCCATTTTCCAACTGCATCTTTAAATCTGAGAATGATATTTTTGAGTCCTTTGTATGCTCTCGATAGTAATCCTTTGAGGACAGCTGGCAAATGTTTTCTCCCACATTGTGGGCTGTCTCTTTACTTTGTTGGTTTCTCCTGCTATGTAAAAGCTTTTCAATAGGGCAAGATCTCAATTGTTCTTTGTGATATTTCCTATGCAATTGGCATTTTGTTCATAAAGTCTTTGCCTACACCGATATCTTTAAGAGTTTCACCTCCTCTATCTTCCAGTAGATTTAATGTTTGTTTTAACATTGAAATCTTTGATCCATTCCAACTTTAGTTTAGTGCATGTTAAAAGATACAGGTTCAGCTTTCATCTTTGGCATGTGTAGAGCTAGTTTTTCCAGCACCTTTTATTAAAGAGGCTATCATTCTTCCAGGGAATGCGTTTGGCACCTTTTGTCTGGAGTTGTTTCTGCATCTTCTAATCTATTCTACTGGTCTCTGGGTGTTTTGTTGTTGTTGTTTGCCAGTACCACACTGTTCTTATCACAGTAGCTTTCTAGTACAATTTTAAGTCAGGGATTGTGATGCCTCCTGTCTCTTTGTTGCTCAGGACTGCCTTTATTATCTAGGTATCTTCTTTCACATGAATTTTAGGATTATTTTCTCTAATTCTGTGAGATATGCTATTGGGATTTTGATTGGGATTGTCTTCAATCTGTGTAACAGTTTTGGAAGTATGGCGACTTTCACTATGTTGGGTCTTCCTACCAAAGAGCACAGGATACACCTCCCCATTTTCTAATATCGTATTCAAGATTAATACTGTATTCAGTTATACATCAGTGCTGCTAATATCTAATATCCTCTTCAATCTTTTTCAGAGTACTGCAGTTTTTAATAGAAAGCTCTTTTACATCCTGATAGATTGATTCCCAGGTATTTCATTTTTTGGATGCTATGGTAAAAGGTGTTGTTTCCCTGATTTGTCTCAGTGAGTCTGTTATTTGTGTATAGGAAGGCTATTGATTTTTGAGTGCTGAGTGTTGACTTTGTATCCAGCTTACACCATTGGATTTGCACATAAAATCTAGAAGTCTTTTGGTAGTTTTGGGGATCTTCTATGTAGAGTCTCATGTCATCTGCAAATAACAATAGTTTAACTTCTTCCTTTCCTATCTTTACACCTTTTATTTCTTTCTCTTGTCTAATTGCTCCAGCTAAAGTTTCCAGGACTATGTTGAATAAGAGTGAAGATAGTAGATATCTTTGTCCTGTGCCTGATTTTAGTTTTTCAGTTTTTGTCCATTTAGTATCATATTGGCTGTTCATTTGTCATAGACGCCTTTTTATCAGAGTAAGATAACGACCATCTATTCCAATTTTCTGTAGGTTTTTTTTTTTTATCATGAATGGGTACTGGGTTTTGTCAAAAGCTTTTTCTGCGTGAGACAGATTTTGAAGTTGCATTCTGCAGCTTTGGCCTAAGCTGACCAATTCAATATTATTATTAAATCAGTTCTTTATTGAGATCAAGACTGTAGAACAAGGTACATTACAGAGGACTTTTCCCAATCTTAATTCCTCAAGAAGTTTCCATTTATAATCAAGCTAGAAATTGACAAAATCCTTGACTGACTGTTTAAATCCACAGCAGCACACCCCCTGGTGGCAGTAACTGGTGGCTATCTAATTCTTCCACTTCCTTTACCCTTGGCTATGAGCCTCACCAGCCATATTTAGCTGTCTGTGTTCTTGCTTTTAAAAATTAACCCAGTCAGCAGAGTAGAAATAGGATAAACTGACATCATTTATTGAGCCACAAAGCTACATGGATTGTTGCTGATGACAGTCATATTCCAAACAATTCTTTAATTTGTTTAAAAATCCACAGTAGGAAATAAGATGTGGCTCAATAGAAGAACAGTTGCTTAGGATGTTCAAGGTCCTAGGTTCAATTCCCTGTACTGCAAAACAAAAAAATCTAAGAGTATAACATCTGTGATCAACAAAAATAAAACATGATTCCCTGAGGAAAGCAATGGAACATAAAATATGGTTAATTAAAAACCTGAGTGATACAAGCCCTGTCATGAAAGGACCCTTTTCATAATATTTAAAAATAGATAAAGTATGGTTGCCTGTATTGCAATTTAAAATAACTTGTTACTTAATTATCAAAAACATAACATGACTCATTACAATTGTCTTTACTTCTAGTAAAAGAAAAAGAAGCATTCTAATCGTAGGGAAACAAACAAACAAAAAAAACCCCACATATCTGGCTCCCAGAAACTAAAAAACATACTTCCTCCACAAGCAAAGTATTTACATTTTCCAAATAAGAGTGCCAAAAAACACAACATACTAGTCAAAAGGGAAATCATCTAATAATACCCTAAATAAATGAATAAAGGGCATCACAGGCAATATTACTCATGCACATTGTCACAATTACAGTGTGAACTCCTCAGCAACCAAGCCCAGCTGTTGGCCAAGGAACAAATCTGGCCAGGAAATTTGAAGAGATGATGACTCTCAAAAACCTGTGTATCCTTTAGTGATTCTGGAAGTGTTTAGTCATATGATGACTAAAAAACTTAGAAGTCCTCGGTTGGGTTTTACAAGTCAAAATGAAACGACAGGGCACGAACACAAGCTCGAGGCAAAAGGAAAAGATGTCATGGGGGCTGGGGATTTAGCTCAGCGGCATAAGCACCTGCCTTACAAGCAGGCAGTTGTGAGTTCGATCCCTGGTACCGATAAAAATGAAAAAACAAAAAAAAAAAAAAAAAAAAAAAAAGAAAAGATGTCTTACAGTGCGGGGGGGGGGGGGGGGGGCGGTGCCTAGACAAGATAAATGTAACTGATCTGAGTTTCCTTTCTGAATTCAGAGTTTGAGCCAAAAGACGCTGATAATCTGCTTCCTCACCTTCCTCCCACACCCAGACCTAGCCTTGTAACTTTCCAAGTCTTAAATCCATTTTATTAAACTGCACATGTTCTTAATAAAAGCTTCTCAACTGAAATATAGACTATAAGCTGTATGAATTTTCTAAGCCTACCAAAAACCCTAAAAAGTCGATTTATGTGCGATACACCCAGCAGCAGGATGGTGCAGGGATTAAGGGGGAGGGGCCTGGAAGGTCCTTGTCAGTCCTGCAGTTCTACCAAATCATCTTTATCTCCCGGCTCCTCTGACTTCTCTTTCCTTGCAGGTAAACAGGATGAAATGAGCGACACAACTGAAATGCACACCAGTCTGCCAGTTTGCTGCTAACATTGTGAAGTGCTCACTTTGTGCCAGACAACAAATAAGAGGCCACTGTGCTATTAGGGTCAATAGTGGTGATCAGAATCCACTGTGTACTAATCAGCTGCCTGTCAGACTATGTGGAGTCTGGATATCTGAATATAGAAAGAGGACATGAGGGAGGTCCTGAGAAGCCAGGCCCCTGTGGGCCCCACAGTACAGACATGATGCACTGCACGTGGTCTGAAGCAGAGGCACAGATGGGGCTGAGCTAGTGCAGTGCTGCAGGGCTGAGGAACCTGCTCCATTCCCTCCCAGAGTTCCACAGCCCAGAAGGTTAGCACTGCATTCACTTACACATCAGGAGTGCTAAGCAATCTCCTGATGAGAGGCTTAAAATAAACTGGCAGATGAAGGATGTTCTGCTCCCAGGCCACCGGGGAGCCAGTGCTGAGCAGGAACAAAGGAAAGAGCAAGACAAACACACCAGGGATGGCTGTTAACACTTCCCCTGGGAGCCACAAATACACAGTAAGTGAGCAAAGCTGGTCCCGCTTACAGCTGCAGTGGGCACCTCTAAGAGGCATACTGTGGGGGTGGAGGGAATATGTTAAGAGTGCCTGGCTGTACTGCAAACCTGTCTGACATCTTCCCAAAAAGTTGAGCAAGGTTCCCATAGGACACATGTGAAGAAGTTTCTGTATGCACTTTCAAGAAACAAAATAAAGTAAAAGGGACAAGGTCTCCCTGTGTTTTTAGTTCCGAATAATGACCAGAGTCAAATACATTAACTTTCTTAAGCAACAGTACATTTCAGACTTTTCTTAAGATGGGGAAGCTACATGAATTTTTGGTCTGTATTTAGATTGCTTCATCGAAAGGACAAACTAAAATCAATATACTGAATAATTCATGACAGATGCAATATGAAAGACTGAGAAGGGAGAAAAGAAATATAAAACTACCCTTTCACTTCTACATGTTCTTCAAAACTTCTAGTATACTTTACTCCTGAGAAGATGTAGACCATACTGATTATAATAAAACTCAAAGCCATGCACTGTTAGCAACTTTTATTAAAAGTTTTTGTAAGCCTGTTACGAGTAAAAACAACAAAAAAAATAGATAATTATACTTACAATACTATTAATGTTCTTAAGTAATCTCAGTTCATTTATAATTAAGAATAAAATCAAATAAAAGCTTTTCCACAAGTATTTATGGGTGTATACTTTCCTATTGCTTCATGATATAATCTGAATAAAGACTAAAATATACAAAATATACTAACAAAAAAAATCTAGATACCTAAGAATACCTCAGATGGACAAGGCTTCCTAGAGTCAACCAACAACTGTCCCCTCATGCTCAGTACTATAAAAATTTCTATCACTCTTCCACAATTTTTACCAAGGTGCAGTTTCAACACTTAAAAGTGCGTCAAAGTATACGATTTTGGGGCTGGGGATTTAGCTCAGCGGCATAAGCGCCTGCCTTGCAAGCAGGCAGTCGTGAGTTCGATCCCCGGTACCGATAAAAAGGAAAAAGACAAAAAAAAAAAAAAAAAGTATACGATTTTGCAACGTTCACGTAACATGACAGCCAATGTATGTAACAAGTGTCACCAATAACAAAGTATCAATTTACTCAATGTTCAATCCTTGCTACTGTATGTAAAATGACCAAAGAATGTATACAGTAAGTGTAATATAGTTTGCTCTACCTTTAACAAGCTGTCTCTTCTATATAGCCAATTAACAAGTGAAAGTGCAGTATTAACTTTATCCTTGCCCCATTTATTCATCACGAGTATTTATAGCGTTACTTTACTAAGTTTTACTAAGCACCGAAGCTGAAAACCATAGCGCTAACAGTCTGTGCAGACAAGCGTAACTCCACAGAAGGGGTCCTAAACACATGCAGCAGCCGAGCAGCCAAGAACCTTTGACCCCAAAGTTCCACCTTGCTGTGCCACCTTGGGGAGGGGACGTCGATCCCGCCACGTCTGGAATCCCTAACGCGTAAAACCCTAGTGTGAACCAAGGCGGGGTGGCATCCTCCCCAGCCCTTGTCTGAGGCTGCAAACAGCTCAAAGTAAGAGACTACAGCGTCCGATTACCCAGCGTGCTCTCAGCACTTGCGAACTACTACGACCGAGGACAGCGAGCCAGCGACAGCTCGACTTTCGCTGGGGAAGTTGCCCGAGAGTGCTCGCCGCTCTTTGGCTGTCCTGCAAGGCGTGCACCGGACCAGGGTGCTGCCCTCGATTCCTGGATCCCCGGAGCCCCTCGCCGCAGCCGCCACCGCCGCCACTGCCACCACCCCGCAAACTACAGAAGCCCAGCTGTGCCGGGTCCAGGGCACCTGCCCGGCCGGTCACGTGACACCCTGCTAGCCGGTTTTGGCGCGCGGCAGTGACGTCACTCCTGTCAGCCACCGCCCGCCCCGCCCCGCCCCCGTTCCGTCCGGTCCGCGCCGTTAACGCCCCCGCGCCCGCCCGCCCGCGCTCACCTTGAGGGGGCCGCCGTCAGGGCTGCTCGCCTCCTCCTCGTCCTCGCCCCCCGCGGCAGCGGGCTGGGGTGCACCCCGCAGCCCCTGGTGCGCGGCGGCAACGACGGCTGCAGGCGGGACGGCCGAGGCGGCGCCCGCGGCCCCGGGGCTGAGCGTCACGTTGTGCGCATTCTCGCCCCAGCGCCACGGATACACCATAAAGTCGCTGAAGCCCGGGCTGGTGGGTGCGAGCGGCGGCGGCGGCTCCGGCTCCCCCGCGCCACCTCCGCACGGAGGCGTGGCCGGGGTGGTCCTGATGACCGATACCAGCACCCGCTTCGGGGAGTCCTGGCGGAAGACCCCGGACAGCGGCGGGGCGTCCGCCATGGGCGCGCCCGCGCCCCGGATCATCGCCGGCCGTCCACGGCCCCCAACCCAGCACCCGCCCGTCCGCGCTGCTCCCAGAGCCGGCTCAGTCCTGCCCGCTCATGGCGGGCACCCTTTTCCCTGCCGGCTCGCCCTCAGTTTCCGCTCACTTTACTTTCCAACGCAAGCTGCGGTGCCGAGCCCCGAAAATAACAACCTGCTGCCGCGGTGCCTGCCCCGCTTTTCCCGCGTTACATTTCGCGCCTGGGCGGGGCCATCCACCGCGAGGTCCCTTCGGGCTGGCCACTGCGGTGATTGACAGGTCGCGCGGGCCAATGGCCGGAGCAGAACTACGCTCTAACCGGGAGGGGCGGGGCCAGGTGGCCGCGCGGGTCTTTACTGCCACCTTATTGGCCGTCACGCTAGTATTTTTTTTCTACCTCAAGGGCCAACAGCGTTCGAAACTCCTAGAGAGCGCGCAAGTGTCTGCGTTCACTGGGACCCACCCGCGGGGGGCTGGGCTCCAGCGACCCCCCCAAAAAGAGCTGCTGATTGGAGAGGGCTAGGGAGGGGGCGGGGACGAGGGCAGTGATTGGTCGGCGGTGGCGCGCGCCCCGCTCGGCCCCGCCCGCCCGCGGCTGTTGGGCCGCAGTTCCCGCCGCCGCCAGTTTAAAGGGCCGGGTCGCCCGCCCCGCCCTCCGCTCCTGCCCCTGGGCTATCGCGGCCTCGCTTCTTCAGTACTAGTTTCTAGCCTCCCCCACCCCTCTTTTTTTGGTACAGGGTGTGGAATGCAAGGCCTTCACACTGAGCCCTTTTGCTAATTTTTAGAAACAGGGTCTCACTAAGCTATTCAGGTGTCCCGGCTGGCCTCGAATTTGCGCGTGTCCTGCCTCTGCCTCCCGAGATCGGGGGCCAGGATCACAGGCGTGCCGCGCCGCCACACAGAGCTACCGGGACTCTTTTTTCTTAGTCGGGTTCCCTGTGCCCAGCTGCCAATCGCCGCGACTTAACAACGCCAGCTTTACCCTTCGCCGCTGGCGGTCTCGCTCCCCTCGAGGAAGCACCGAGGTCCGCGGCCCGCGAGGGTCAGGAACGCACCCAGAAGAGCCAGCTGCAAGGCCGCAGCTGGGGGCGGTGTCTGTCCCCTCCGCACTGCGCTCCCGCCCGGCTTGACCGGCAGACGTTCTGTAAACAGCTGTTGAATGAATGAACGAATGTCTAGTTGAGGAGGGCTAGAACTGGTCATTAAGTTAGGAAATCCCTGCATAACAATCAGAGGTAGCTGAGCTGACCTCGCTGCCAGGCCTAAATTAATGTAGCAATCACTGCTTTAAAAACGAAAGAAGCAGTGTACTGGCACAAATAGCAAGATACGTTTTCCAGTTGTTTTTTTAAGGCAGAACAACCAAATTCTCCATTTAGGAAGATTTTCGAAGTGGGAAACATCTAAATACATGTTTTGTCTTTTAGGTATACAAAATATATCTGGCAAGATACACAAACTGATAAATCGGGCCGGGAGTTTAACTCAGTGGCATAAGCATCTGTCTAGCAAGCACAAGGTCGATAGTTCGATGCCCCATACCCAAAAGAAAAAAACTGATAAATCAGTCGACTTTGTGGAGAGAAATCAAGCAGCTGGGAACCAGCACTGAAAAGATTCCAAAAGATGCAATCTATAAGGCTTTGTATCTTTTAAACTTTGACAGAAGTAAAAAAAAAAGTATCTTCTCAAGAAATAAAAGAAGGTAGCCTGCGCTTCCAGCGGCCTACTACAGTTTTGTCTATTGATGAACAATAACATGCTTGGCGGCTTTACTTTCATTCTACCCAGCAGCTTGAGGAATTAGATATTATTCCCATTGTACAAATGAGAAAACATGAGATTTATCCAAGATCACATAACTCAGTAAATAAATTCTTCAGGAGGCTCTAAAACAGTTTTTGGATTATGTAAGATTTCCCTAAGCAAAAAGAGGAAAATGCTGAAAACTGGTTCCCCACACATTTCTGGGTCCCATTTCCCATTCCAAAACTCACAGTTCCAATTTGGTACTTTAACAGTCATTCTGGAAAGCAGGAAGTTCAGCTCTAATTTTCCTTAATGTAGTAGATATTTTATTTTTACAACTGAATGCTAAATACTTGGGCCATAGTCTTATGAGTCAGTTGCAAGGGAAATACAATCCATGTTTTTCATCCTGGAAAGGTGGTTTAAAAAAAAAAAGACTCAAGTTACCGTTTAGCCAACAGCTTAAACAGCAACCAATGGTTATCTTTTCACATTCATAACCTGTTCCAAAGCGCAAAATGAAGTGTCCAGCGCACAGGACTCTGACTTAATGCTTCTAAAAATGATCCTTCATCAACAGTAACCTGGCAACTCCACTTTCGCTCTGCCACAGAGAACGGAAGCTATGCCAGGAATGTTTGAGCTGGGCTGAGGCTGATTCCAGAAACAGCTGAGGTCAGGCAAGATTGTCTGGCTCCTTTTTCAGGAAACTAGAAAGCTGTCTGAAGTGCATGAATCACATTGCTGATGCCTTTGCTCTGCCCTAGATATGCGTAATCCACAGCTCATAATGTATACCAGCCCTGAAGAACACTAAAACCCACCTCTGTAAAAATCGTAAGCCCCTTCTGGTAAACATGTGTACCTCACACTCTTTAAAATATAGACTTTGGGCCAGGTGTATAGTTTGCTGGCACAGCTGGCCTGCCTGGCAAACACAAGGTCATGAGTTCAGCTACTGGTACAAAAATAAATAAAATTATATATATATATATATATATATATATATATATATATATAAAACATATGATATAAATATAAATTTCAAGATTAATTAAAATCTAAGCAAGATTTCTTTTACCTTGAAAGACCATTTTAAGTTGCTTGATTGCTACAAAATTTTTTATCTACTAAATGTGGGATACAGACCATATTGTAATCCTTTTACATGGTTTATCTTCACAGCTGAGAATGTGATAAAATGGCTTTGCAAATGGATGTTGACCAAAGGGATATAAAATGCTTGATTGCTTGTTTAGCAGTCTATTTTACCTAAAAATTCCCCAAAGTAATTTTCTCCATGTTCTATTTGGTGGCAGACTCACACCTGAGCTTTAAAGAACCCTCCTAAAGGATCACAAATTTAGTTCAGTGGCCCAAGCGCTTGCCTGGTAAGAGCAAGGTTGTGAGTTTGATCCCTGGTTCCCCCACACACATACAAAAAAAGAATTCTCCTACAAAGGAAGAAAGGCCAATATTTTCCCATAATCCAATGAGATTTTTAACTTTTTCAACAGGAAAATCTGTGTAACCCAACCAGATACATTTTTCATCCCAAAATGTCTTCCCCAAAATGTTTTCCAAGAACTTGGCCTATGAACATTCCATCAAGTTAAGAGAATAAGGAACATTCTTACCTTTAAATTCAGTGGTTCTGTCCCTAAGTGAGTGCAAAATCAATGAAAGCAGCCAAGATTAAAAAGGTTTATCACACACTACCAGGGAAGGCCAAGCAGTACCTCTCCCTAAACAAAGAAAGGAAAGGACTTTTTATTGGAGAAACGTAAACATTCGCAGAGCAAAGATTCTCCATCGCACGCAGAGGTGGGCACAGTTTTGCTCCTGCACAGTTTGAGGTGGTCTTTACCTCATGGATGGATGAAACTGCCCAATGGGTGGACAATTCAGCATAATCATGAGATTGCATGAAGTAAAATTCACTCTAGGTCACTCGGGAAAGGGGCTGAGTAGCTTTGGCCGGTTTAAACTGACTATGTTTTTTCTGGAGGGATTCAACTGAAGCAAAAGAACAACTTGAAAGGTTAATCATAATTTAGAGGATCAGCAGTTTTCTAAAAGTATCTGCCTAGTGGCTTAACCTCAGCACAAATTCAAGTTCTTCCTAAGGAGCAATAATTCTACTGGAAACCTGTATTAGAAATGGCATGGTGGCTCACGCCTGTAATCCCAGCACTTGGGAGGCTGAGGTGGGAGGATCCTTGCAAGTTTGAGACCAGCCACGGCTACAAGATGAGCTCAAGGCAAGCCTTAACTGCATAGGGAGACCCTGTCTCAAAAAAAAAAAAAAAAAAAAAAGAAAGAAAGAAATGGCTCTTTGAGTCAGGCATGGTGGTGCACCTGTGTTTCTCGCACTTGGGAGGCTGAAGCCAAGAGGACCACTGCAAGTTCAAGGTAGGCCTAGGCTACATAGTGAGTTCAAGGCCAGCCTGACCTGCATAGTGAGACTGTCTCAAAAAGACAAAAAAAAAAAAAAAAAAAAAAAAGAGGAAAAGAAAGAGAACAGAAAAGTCACGGCTCTTTGTGAAAGAGTTGCTGGCCCAGACCGGACACTTTAACCAGGAAAAGCCTCAGCCAAGTTAGGGGGCTCCTGCCTCCCCTGCCCCTATAGATTTACCTGTAACCCTATACCCCCATCCCTAAGAACCTGTCCCTGGCACCAAACGTGTGCCAATGAAATACCTGTGCATCCCTAATGCCCCTTGGGGTCCGCCCCAGACAGAGGCTACTTATGGGCCTCACTCCACGTGTTCGACAGAAGAAAGGGAGAGTGTGTTCCAGAGAGAGACCGCCGGCCCCGGGGTGGAGATGCTGCACCCCGGGGTGGGGTGGGGGGTGTGGTCTCTCCCCGCATTCCCGAAATAAAGGTTACTTATATTTTATACTTCTTATCTTTGCAGCCACCACCGCCCACTCCTTCCATGGCCCTCTTTCCCTTCCACTCCTTCCTCTTCCCTCCCCCCTTTTCTCAGACCTAACACTTTGGATCTCAAATAGCAGATCTAACCTGGATTACATTAAGGAAGCACAGACCTGATGAGGTTGGAGAACAAAAGCCAAAATTATTTAAAAAGATGAACTCCAAAGTGAGCATTAGAACCTAGTACTGATCCTCAAGGACCCTCTGGGTCACATGGATCACTTCTGACCTCAGTTCTGTTTCTGTGTTCACATGCTTCCTTTTTTCCTCTCCGTGGACACCCTGCTTTGCCTCTCCACATGTATAGTAAAGCTGAGGGCAACCATATAGTAAGGCCTTTTCTGTGATGCTGCATATTCAAGTCACCAGCAAAGGCAGGCTGGCATTTGCAAACGTCAGTTTTAAATTACTAAGTCAGAATTTGATTTGCCCAACTTGCAGGTAGTGCAACCAACAGATTCCCCTCTTGTTCTAAAAAGTGGATTGAGGTCTTTAAAAGCTGAACAACAGTTCTCAAAGAAGAGAGAAATTACCTGCAATCCCAGAACTCCTGGAGGCTGAAGCATGAGGATTACAAGTGTGACCCTAGCCTGGGAAATGTAGAAATTTAATTAGGCCCTGCCTCAAAATTAAGGAATGGATTCTATCAGCTTAGTGTTGGAGAAAAAAAAAATTAAGGAATGGA